GCTCCGCCGGCGGCGGCCGGGGCAGCGCTGGCGGCAGCGGCCGGGGTACGGTTGGAGGTGCGTGTACGGAGGACGGCTGTGCCGGCGACAACGGCGCATCACTGCCGTCGCTGCTGCGACGCCGCGCCCCTCGCGCCGCCGCGGCGGCGGCGGCCACTGCGGCCGCCGCCAGGTGCATTAGCATACCGCCTGCCGCCGGCTGCGCCGAAGCACCGCCGTCGGCACAGTCACCGTTCGGCGGATCGCCGCCGCCGCCGCCGTCAGTACTACCTAGCTGCGGCGGCGGCAGCGCCGTTGGAAGCGGAGCCGTGGACGCCAGCGGCGGCGGGGCCGCCAGCGCTCCTGGCGGCAACAGGTACTCGGGCGGAGGTGCCGCCGGTACGGCAGCTGCTGCTGCTGCCGTACCCGCCATCGCTGGCGCCATAGCTGCATCCGCTGCCGGACCCTGTAACATCACACCACAGCGTGGTAAACAGGCCTATCTATCTCCTCCCTATCTTCTCACAACAATCGCTGTCCTATTCCCGGACGGCGTCTTGGGGACTGAAGCCGACGCATGCGCACGCACTCCCAACCCCCATCAACGGCATCAGCGAGCATGCCTGCCCGTCATCAGTCCCCCGCCCGGCCCTTAACCACCCCACCATCCCCACCCCTCCACACCCTACCTGCAGTATCCGCAGCATCTCCGGCTCCAGGGGGGGCCCTCCCTCCGCCGCCGCCAGGCCGCCGAAGCTGTAGATGAGCACTCCGGGGCCCGAGGGTATTCCCACCAGGCTGTGACCGTAGCGGCCTGAAGCGGGCATCAAGTGGGACAGCGAGGGGAACGGGTGGCGGGCATCGTGCGGTAGAAGAAAGGATACCGGTACTCAATGGCTTCGTTCAGGGCTCATGTAGAAGATGGAGAAGGAGGCGGCACAGACAGCGGAGACAGCTACCGGCATGATGATGCAAAGCCTTACCCGAGAAATATCAAGCACCCAACCGGTTGCTTCCCCGCTCCCCTCCCCTCTCCCTGTCCGCCACGCCCCTCACCTATCAGCCGCTGCCCCGGCGGCACCTGCAGCCGCAACCACAGCGCATCCAGCTCACTCAGCCCCAGCGCCTCATCGGGGCCTATGCCCAGCACCCACACGTCCCCCAGTGCCCGCCCCTGCGCGTCCCGCCCCCCGAACAGCAACATCTGGTTAGGAGCCAGCGCCACAGCGGCGTGCTGGCTGCGGGGCGGTGGGCGCGGCGCCAGCGGGCCGCCCGCCGTGTCGCGCATGCGGGCCCAGGAACTGACCCGTGGGTCGAAGCGCCAGAGGTCGCCCAGGCAGCTGTGGAAGCAGGGGGAAGAGGAACAGGAGGGCGGCGGGGTGAGGTAAGGAGGAAGGAACTGATATACGGCGTGCCCGCAAGCGCCATGGAGGTTAAGCCGGGTGAGCACATGAGGTGTGCTCAGCAATGCGAGAGCAACGTGCCGCGCAGCTCTGCCCCTTTTCCCCGCTGTTGGCAACACAAACAAGGTTCCGCAGCCACTCTACTGCTACTGTCGTACCGTCCGTCGGCTCCCTCCCCGCCGAACACAAAGATATGGCCACCAAGGCATGTGGCGCTGTGGCCCTTCCGCCGCGGCGGGTACAACACACCCTCGCCGCCGCCGCCGCCAGCCGCTGCTGCTGCTGCCGCCGCCGCCAAGCCGTCCTGGTCGACATGGCTGCGGAGGTGGTTGGTGGGGTGGTTCTTACCCGCATGTGGCCCCATGTGCGGCGGATCACGGTCGTACGGATCGTCGAAGACCTTGTTGAGGGTGGCGGCTGCGAGGTCGAGGCACCACACGTCGCCTAGGAGGGAGTGAGAGTGGGGGGCGCTGACGGCGCCGGAACCACCGCCGCCGCCGCCGGTGGGTGCGGTGGTAGCGGCGGCGGCAGTGGTAGTAGCAGCCGCAGCGTTGCCGTCCTGGGCCGCCTGTTGGGAGGTGTGCAGACGTGGAGAGTGGCAACATATGACCAGGTAAGGTTGAGATCAAAGCAGGTGCGGCTTGTAGAGGCTTGACAGTGGCCAATTGGATATACTGTGCCGCGTGCTGGTAATAAACGCTAAATCGCCCCACCTTTTCCCCACACCAACTTATGTGCGGCCTTGTCACGCCCCCTAATCACACGTACCTCTGGTCTCCAAGGCGGCTTCGCAGCATCATTGCCTCCACCAGCCGTCTCGCCACCTCGCGGCGGCATCAACGCCGCCGCCAACACTCCGCCGTCGCCGCCGCCGCCGTCACCGACCATGCCGTCGGCGACGACGCTGCCGCTGCCGCTGCCGCTGCCGCTTCCGCCCTGCTGTTCCTCAGTCGGTCTCTCGTGCGGCAGCGGCGCAGCGGCGCCATCTTGACGCGCCGCCGCCGTCACGTTTTCCTCGCCACCGCCGCCGCCGCCGCTCTCCCTTGCAATCGCCGCTATCTCACCATCTTCTGGGATGACCCCTGGAACCTGAAGCGGCGGCGGCGGCTGGGGCGGCGGCGGAACCGGCTTTTGCGTGTGGCGGTATCTGCCGTCGGCGTCAGCCGCCTCGTCGCCCTTGGCCTCCACCTTTACCGACACAGCAACGTCGGAGGCGCCGCCGCCGCTACTTCCGCCTCCGCCAGCGGCACCACCGCCGCCGCCGCCGCCACTGCTAGTTGCCGCCGGTCGCTCGGGAACAGTCGTCGAAGAACCCACCGGACCGCCGCCGCCACTGCCGTACGGCGGCGCCGGCGGCGACCGGGGCGCTGTCGCGCCGCCACCGCCTCCTGCCGTCGCCGTCGCCGCGGCCGCGCCGGCCGGCGGCGCCGGCAGCGCCTCGGGCTCTCCCTCTCCGCCGAAGATGTAGATCCTGGGCCCGATGGTGCACACGGCGTGACCGCTGCGCGCCGGCACTGGGTTGCTGTGCGCCGCTACCATGCTCCAAGCGGAGCTCTGCGTGTTGAACAGGAAGATCTGTGGGGGCGGAGGGGGCGGGGGCGGAGGGGGAGGGGACGGAGGGGGCGGGGGTGGAGGGTGCGGGGCGGAGGGGAGGCGGAGCGGGTGAACGGGTATTGACGGTGCACGGGTATTTATGTGCGGTGATGTGCGAGCTAGGGTTCGAGAGGACATGGCCCGACAGGGCCAAATGCATGCTGGTATTGAGGGGGCCGCGACAATGAAGAACACGATGATAAACTCTGCAGTGGCCGTGGCAGCCTCGCAGGACCTCAGCACCCGTTGTGTATGAGAGCAGGCCCCGGTTCATCATGCCTCGTCACACACTAACCCACAGAGCTTGCTTAACATGAACCCACTGCAGCGCCCTCACCACTCACGTCATTGCGGTGCGAGGCCTCGTCGCGCCCACCTACTACGAACAGACTGTCCCCTGCGAGGAGCGAGTGGCCGGGCGACACGTTGCTTGTCAGATGCAGTAACGGATTTAAGCGTCCAAACATACACCAACCAAGCCGAAGCAGCAAGGCGGCAGCCGGCAAAAGGCCGCGCTTCCTCCCGGACGTGCTCTCCGTCAAACGACCTATGGGTCAGAGAGTGGCTTGTGCCCCTGCCCTCTCTCCGCTCACACACGAGGCCTCCTCCCTCCCATCCTCAGTCTCCCCTCCCCCACCCTCTCCTTACCAACCCCTCTTACTTGACACCGTCAGTGCATGTCCCAACCGTGCCGGCGGCGGCACCCCCTCGAGTGCCACCCGCCGGCTGCTCCAAGCGGTGCCGCCCGGGCCCAGCGGCAGCAGCTCCCACAGCGCCAGGTAGCGCCCCTCCGCGCAGCCGAGGGCAAACAGGCGGCCGGAGGAGGAGGAGGAGGAGAAGGAGGAGGAGGAGGGGCCGGAGGAGGAGGAGGAAGGGGGCGCGGCTGGGATGGGAGGCAGGGAGGGAGGGAAGGGGAAGGGGAAGAGGGGGTGAAGTGGGTTGAGTGGGGGAGGAGGTGGTGGGTGGGGGGGAGGAGCAGGAATGTGGATCAAAAATCGGTGATTGCATGTGTGTGAAAGCTTCTTCAGCATAGCATTGATTGCGGGCTGGATGTTGACCGGCAGAAAGTAAGGTATCGATCGAGTACTTGATGCTTTCAATGCGCATGTAACGGTTAGCAGTGAATTACTTCCTTTCATTCTCAGAGCCAAGAATGGGAGTTTATTCTACAACAATACAAGCAGTGACCCATGGGCCGCGTGATTGCCGCAATTCAACCGTGGGATTCTGATTTTACGAGTGCTTGGAGTGAAGCGCGATGTTGCTGTCATTTTCAGTCGACTTTGCATGAAAGCCAGCAACTTCGTCGAGTATCAATCGCGTGCAGGCAGCTTATCCACTAGTCCGATTCACACAAGCATTTAAACTTGTCGGAAAATTGCGGGTGGCCGCAAGCAATTGAGCATTCCAACAGGCACGAAGAATCCTTCACCGATATCCAATAACAACAGCCGAATTCCACAACTAAGCAGCAAAGCAAGCACAAATCCTTCCCCAGGAGTCTTTTCTGCATCCTTGGGAACCAGTCGAGGCAAGCCTTGTCAGACCTTCGACGTCCTCATGCGATGGGGACCCAAACAGCGAACCGACCCAAGGAACCCCGTTACGCATGTGACCCATGGGCCCCTGCGCCTCCTCGGCAGCCGGGCGACGACAGCTTACGGCAGGTCAACTAACGCAAAAACGCCGGCGGCAGCTGCTGCTAGCAGGTTGAGCTTTTGAAGGCACACAAGGGCTGCTTACCCACTGCTAGAAGCCCCGGACAGCCCAAAAGCACATCTGCTGGGGTGCTACATGCCAGTTCCAGCCGTTCACTCCACACATAGCCGGCAGGGCTGGTGGAGGGTCCACTTGTGCCCTTGCCGGAGGTAGGGGGCTGCGAAGCCATGCGGTTACAAAGCGCGCGCGAAGTAGTAGGCAGGGTCGTAAGTCGTTGCAGGGTGGTCGTTGGCAAGTGTTACTACTGCTGCTGTTGTTGTTGATGATGTCACAGCGCACGCAGAGTCCAAGCATTGTGTGAGTAGAGTGAAAGGGGTGTTGGTATAGTTGTTGGCAGAAGCTAGAGTCGTTTTGTTTCGAGGCAACGTCGAGGCTCGGTGCACGACGTACAAGTCATCGGTCGCATGGTCTTGGGCAGATTTTTGGCCAAAGAAGGATTACGTGTTACAAGATTAATGCAGCAAAGCTGCTTAGAAGCTAGGAATGCGAAGGTTTGACTGCATTAGTGAAGCCCTTCCCACCTTTTGGCCGAGCCGAGGCTAGGCGCGTTTAGTCCTCACAATCTCGGACATGGCTTTATTCGATGATTTGGATGACGCTCTTTTAGAGTACCTTTTGCGGTTTCTTAACAGCACAGAGCTCCGAAGTAGCGCTTGTCTTGTTTGCAAGCGATGGCTCGCGATTTGCCGCAACACCTCAAGCGGTCAGCAGCCCGCCGGCGGCGTTTGGCGCCACTTAGACATCGATGTCTAGTAAGCAGCTGCATTGCTTCATTCGTTGCCAGATTCCCCGCACATTCTGCGATTGGTACCAAACTCAAGGCCAAACCCTAATCAACCAGTACCCAAAGCAGTACCATGCCAACGATCCCGTACACCTCATATCCGCCGACACTCCACGCCACCTCACATTGCCCAACCTATCCCACCCGATCACCCTAACAACACCCGCTTTCTCCGCCCACACCCACACCCACATCCCCCCACGTCATTGTCGCACCCCAACCCCGACCCCACCCCTGCCGTACAGCTGGGAGCTCTCCCACCCCCGCGGCCTGGGCGGCCCCGCCCCGCCCGCCCTTCTCTGGCACCAGGCCCTCCACCGCACCCACCGCCCGCATGACGGCAGTGACGGCAGGGGCGCTGCTGCCGCTGCTGCTGCTGCCAGCACCAGCGGCTGGAGTCTTGGCAACTACGAAGGCCGGAGAGGCGTCATAATCAGCAACAACAGCGGCGGCAGCAGCCTCCCTCGGCCCCGAGGCAGCAGCAGCAGCAGCAGGCCTGGTCGCGGTCGTGCCTTCCTGAGCCGCGCCGCTCTGTCATCATGGCTGCGGGGCAAGTGGGGTGCGGTGGAGGTGCTGAGCCTGGCGCACACGGAGGCGAGGGTGACGGTGGTGGGCATGGAGCGGCAGCCGGCGCCGCATGACCTGCAGGTGTGGGGGGAGGGCAGGCAGGGTGTGGGGGCAGCAGGAGCAATGGGAATCAGCCGCGAAACCCCAACAGGCCGGTGCGTGTGCTGGAGAGATGAGGTCGGGGTTGAGCACCCTTTCTCCGGACACCCCTCTCACCCTCCTCCCCTCCCCAACCTCCCTCACCTCCCCCCCTCCCTCCCCCCCAGCCCTCCGACCTGCTCGCGCTGCTCTCCAGCCTGCCCTCCCTCACCGAGCTGCACCTCACCTCCGCCTCCAACCTGCTGCCCGACCTGGCAGCCCTCACAAGCATCACAACCACCACAACCACCGCCGCAGCACCTGCCGCCACTGCTGCTGCCAGCACCGCAGCAGCTGGCGCCCCTACCGCTGCTACCGCTCCCGCCGCCCCCACTGCCAACGAAGCATCCACAAGCGCTGCCACAGCCGCGGCCGCAGCTGCCACAGTCTCAGCCATCCTATCGTCCCTACCACCCCTAACTTCCTCCTCCTTACCTTCCACCCACCTCACTCCTCCACCCACGACTCCCATCAACCCCACCACTACCGGCGAGTCCCTTCCCCCACCTCCTCCACCACCACCACCTCCTCCGTCCCTCGCTCCTCCCCTCACCACCCGGCTTCGGCGGCTGTGTCTGCGCCAGTGCGGCTACGACCTACGCAGCGAGGAGGGCGCTACTGCAGGTGCTGCTCTGGGTGCTGCGGCGGGTGCGGGTGCAGGTGCTGCGGGTGTGGGTGCGCTGGGGCGGCTGGTGGGGCTGCAGGCGCTGGAGCTGTCGCTGCACCCCGCCTCCGAGTGGGGGCTGGGCCGGCTGCCGGAGGGCTGGGCGGAGCTGAGTGGGCTCACGGTGGGAGGGGGAGCAGGGGCAAGAGGAAGAGGAGCAGGGAGGACGGCAGGGTGATGGTATTGTGCGTCTTCTTAGCCAGGTCTCATGATTGGATCATTTGGATGGCTGCTGCCTCACCCTCCCAACCTCCTTCCTCCATGCGAGACCCCGCTCTTCCCCGCTTCTAACCCGCCTACAATCGCTCCTCGGCCCCCCCCCCGCCCTGCTACTGCCCCCGCTGCTCCCCCCGGCCCCCGCTGCTCCCCAGTCTCTGGTGCTGTGCGGCCACCTGCCGCTGCGCCGCCTGCCCCGCTGGCTGCCCGCCCGCCTCACCCGGCTTCGTGAGCTGAGGCTGCGCGAGTGCGGCTTCACCCGCCTGCCGCCGCAGCTGCTGGTGCTGATCGGGGTAGAGGCGGACAGGGCGGGGGGAAGCGCGGGCATCCGCACCTCCACCCACCCGACATTCCTGTCCCCGAGCCCACCTCGTGACGCAGCGGGCGGAGGCGGCCAGCAGGAAGGAGGGTGCGCAGGAGGGGGCGGCAGCAGCAGCAGCAGCAGCAGCTGCCCGCCCGCCGCCGCCCCCTCCCTACGGCTGCTGAGTCTGGACGGCTGCCCGCTGGGCCGCGGTGCCAAGCCGCTGGAGCCGGACGCATGGTGGCCCCGGCGGCCCTGGGAGCAGCAGCAGCAGCAGCAGCAGGGGGAGGAAGGGGAAGGGGGGGCGTCAGTGGGGTGGCTGCGGGGGTTGGAGGTGCTGGAGCTGAGGGGGTGCGACATACTGGCGCTGCCGTACGGCATCACGCAGTGAGCAAGGCGGGGGGGGTGGGGAGGGGTGGGGTAAGGGGTAGAAAGATGAGGGAAGTGAAGCTGGGATTAGGGGCCGCCGCGTGTGTGTATCGGTATGGTAGTGTTTGGCGCCCCTCCAACACACCTCCCAATACCCGGGGAAGTCCCCGCTACCGTGCCACACCCATACACACACACACACCATCCCCCCCCCGGAGCGCAGGTTGACCAACCTTCGGCGTTTGGAGCTGGGAGGCAACCCACTGGGGGAGCAGGAGGAGGGCGAGGAGGAGGAGGGCTACTACTACGGAGCCGGCAGCAGGGGCGGCAGGGGCAGCAGGGGTGGCGGCAGGCGAGGCGGGGCGGGGCTGCAGGCGTCCCTGGAGCGCTACTTGCGGGAATCAGGTGGGGTGTTGAAGGAAGCCAAAAAGACCACATATCAGCCCATAGCAAATCACAGCTTAGGGCAAAGCAGTGGATACAGGAGGAGCCTGTGGCGAGCAGGGCCGGGGCTTCACGGGGCTTCCACGGGACCCAAGGTGCTCTGTACGGATGCATAACATCTGTTGCAGCTGCGGTCACCGGATCCGTGCGGGGTTAGCGGGGACTGCACTCGCCCCATGGGCCCTAACCAGAGTGAGACCAGCCCTAGCCGGCCCGGCGCCTGTCTACTACCGGTCTGATTTTCATGTGTCATCCCGCACCTTCAACCCGCCTCCTGCTCCTCGCTGTTCCTCCCTCGCCCCTCTCCTCCCCCGCCTCAGGCGACCGCGGTTTCGAGCTGCTGAGTCAGCTGCCGCGGCTGGGTCATCTGGGGCTGCAGCGGTGCGGGCTGCGGGGACTGCCGCGGGGGCTGCAGCAGCTGCCGGCGCTAACGTGCCTGGACCTCAGGTGGGGGTAAAAATAAGGAAAACTGACGGACTGGATGACGAGGTGTGTGTTGGGGGGGAGAAGGGGGGGCTGCGGAGTGCTGCCGCGGGTTGGGTAGGGGGCGGAGGGAGGCGGACCGAGCGGGGTAGAGCCGCGTGCAGTATTGCATGTAGAGCTTCAGCACATGCGAGTACGGTAGATAGAGTACGGTATCGATGGTTGAGTGGGGTGTGGAGCGAGAGCAGGTGGCCCGGTAGCACCACCGCCTGCTCGTACGTGTGTCCCTGCCGTAGTTGCCCTAGTTGGCTTGTTTGTTCGTTTGAACGTTTTGCTATCAGTGTGCGTATTGAGGTTTCCAAGTTAGGGGTCTCTTTTGTGTTACGTTTCGCCCGCCCTTCTGCGTTCGGTCGCCCTTAAATCTCCACGCGCTGCCCTTCCCCCTCGTTTGTTTGCCCGCGGCCGCAGCCATAACCCCGAGTTGGATCTTAACCCCCGGCAGCTTGCGGAGCTGTTGGGGCTGCTGCCGCCGCGGGTGCACCTGAGCCTGGTGGGCACACCGGCGGGTAGGCGCCTGCAGGAGGCTGGGGCTGAGGATGAGGCGGCGAGCTGAGGATGAGATGAGCGCAGCTAGGGACGCTTATTTATCCTAGTTTGTGTAGTGGGAAAGGCGAAAGGGTGAAGATCTAATGCGCTTGAACCAGTGTTTGTATGGATGTGCCGGCAGTGCTCGGACGCATCTGCATTCAAGGTCGTCATGGTGTCGCCGTCCGTATGTTATCGGCTTGTAGTAACATATCACGCACAGAGAACGGTCTACGTCCAATAAACTTAATATGCATTGGAGGTTTTTTCAAGCCAAGTCTTCTCGTCGTAGGTTGCCTTCATGCCTTGGGTTGCCGAAGGTCCGTAGCCTAGGGGTAAGCTACCAACGGTAGTGGAAGCTACATGTAACTACTATTTCGTTGTCTGGCACATGCGCTCAACCCTGCCAGTTGGCTTGTTTCGCGCAAGTCCGAACAAGATCCAAGACCCGTTGGAACCCGATCCATGATGGAGCTTTTCCTGATGACTTAACTGGGACTTTACCACAGTAGTAGAGTAAGCGTATTAGCATCCGTGTACAAATTAGGGTTCTAAAGATATCGACAATTGGCTAGCCGAGTCAACCAGCGCAACAGTCAACAGTGCGGAAGCCTTCGGAAGTCATCGTTCCTCCTCGGTGGAGTCAAGCAAGCTTGTTCCAAAACATCTCTACAAAATGACTTCTTCAATTCCAGACGCTGACGCTGCTATTGTTTGCGGTGAGCCTGGGACGACTTGCCATCGACACGACGACGACGCAAGCACGTTGTCACTGCAAAAAGAATGGCGCCTTGATTGCTCTGCATACGTATATTATTATAATGGGTACATTATTGTGTGCTTAGCCTTGTGTGCTGAGCCATGCGTTACCCCACACTGTCGGGAATGCCATCCACACAGACAATGGCTCAGGAGTGGTAAAGGCGGGCTTCGCCGGGGAAGATGCCCCTCGCGTCGCCTTTCCTAGCATCGTCGGCCGACCCAGACACCAAATGGCCATGGTAAGCAAATCAGTTAGGCAAGCGACTGACCTGGGCCATTCTCATTGCACCCTTAGCAACAACCGTAGCATCCCCTGTCTCCTCCCTCCTCCCACCTTCCTCCCTTCCCTCCCCAGGTGGGCGCCGCCTGTCAGCGCCTCTACCTGGGCGACGAGGCGCAGGCCAAGCGCGGCGTGCTGACCCTGTCCCACCCCATCAGCCACGGCGTGGTGACCGACTGGCCCGACATGGAGGCGCTGTGGCAGCACACCTTCACCCACGAGCTGAGGACTGACCCCGCCGAGCGACCCGTGATGCTGACAGAGGCGCCGCGGAACCCCAAGGCAAACAGGTGGGGGAGGGGCGGGGGGTCGCTGGGGGGGGTGCTGGGGGCCCGGAGGGGTGCTGGGTGGGGGGGGATGGGAGGCGGGTTAGTGGAGGAGGCGCAGGGGGGGTTGCGGCGAGATGAAGGTAAAGGTAAGGTATGTAATCGCTAAGTATAAGGACAGCAGAAGGAGAAGCTTGGGGCAGCCGTTATGCGATGCTCTTCGGGGATGTGTGTTCTCGGCTGAGATACGCAACCTCCTTCTCCCTGCCTCCCTCCTCACCCTGTGGCACCCTGCCGTCTCCCATCCCTAATCTGTGGTATGGCACGGCCTTTGTCCCCCCCCCCGCCTCCGCCCCCCCCAGGGAGAAGGCCACTGAGTTGCTGATGGAGAGCTTCCAGGTGCCCGCCCTCTACGTGGCGCTGCAGGCGGTGCTGGCGCTGTACGCCTCGGGGCGCACCACGGGGCTGGTGCTGGACGTGGGGGACGGGGTGGCGCATGCGGTGCCGGTGTACGAGGGTGAGGGGGGGGAGGGGTGAGGGGGAGGGGGAGGGGGGCGGAGGAGGAGAAGGGCGGGGAGGAGACCATGAGAGCCACTGCAGCTCGGGCACGGTAAGATGATGAGCTGCAAGCGACCCTTTTCGTCTCCCGCCTCCACCTTCTCCCACCAACAACGCCTCCCTCCTCTTCCTCCTGCTCCCCTCCAAGGCTTCTCCATGCCCCACGCCATCGGGCGGCTGGATGTGGCGGGGCGCGACGTGACCCGCCAGCTGTCCCGGCTGCTGGGGGAGGCGGGGGTGAAGCTGGGGAGCAGCGCGGAGCTGGAGATCGTGCGGGACATCAAGGTAAGGGGGGGGACTCAGGAGGGACTAGGGAGGCGGGCGGGCCTCGCAGCAGCAACAACAACCCCTCCCGACACCTCTTCATTCTCCATTCCCCTCCTCGTTATCCTCGTAACACCATAAGATTAGCCTGGTTCTAGCCCCTTCCTCGGCGGTGTCTCAGTTGGGATTCTGGCAATGGCACCTTTAGGTTCCTCCTTTCTTTCCCCTCCACACCTCCTTCCATTCCCCTCTCCCCCCTCCATGCAGGAGCGGCTGGCCTACGTGGCCCTCGACCTGCCCTCCGAGCTGGCCACCGCCCGCAGCTCCGGACTGCTGGCCCGCGAGTACACCCTGCCGGACGGCAACACCGTGAGGCTGGGGGAGGAGCGGTTCAGGTGGGGCAGGGGAGGGGGCTGGGGAGGGGGGACTGGCGGGCACGGGAGGGTGAACCGTGTCTGAAGTCAGGAGTAAGGAAGGGTACCGGTATTGGTGCACAAATTGTCTGGCTGGTGGTTATGGGGAAGAGGGGGAAGCCTAAAGAAGGGAAGTCCCTCTTGTTGTTGCTGCTGGCTGATGCTGCGGTTGTAGAAGCGATGCCAGCAACCCCCACCCTCTTACACTCCCTCGCTCCTTCCCCTCCCAACCCTCCTACTCATGATGACGCCTTATCACACGGTCACTTAACTGTCTCCTTCCCCTCCCTCCCTCCCTCCCTCCCTCCCTCCCTCCCTCCCTCCCTCCCTCCCTCCCTCCCTCCCTCCCTCCCTCCCTCCCTCCCCCCCCCGCAGGTGTGCCGAGGTTCTGTTCGACCCCAGCCTGCTGGGCGCTGAGGGCGGCACGGGGCTGCACCAGCTGCTGGCCGCCTCCGTGGCCGCCTGCGACCTGGACGTGCGGAGGGAGCTGCTGGGCAATGTGGTGCTGTCGGGGGGGACAACACTGCTGGAGGGGCTGCCGGCGAGGTGGGGGCGGGACGGGGTGGGGCGGCAGGGAGACCTGCTGCATTCCTCCTCTTCCTCCTCCTGCCCTACTCATTCGCATCGCATTCCTCAGGGACGTTCATTGCGGGTTGCTGCTATCATTAGTTCATGACCAACTTGGGCTTTACCCCTCACCCGTCCTCACCCCTTATCCCGCCAGGCTCACTCGCGAGCTGACCGCTCTGGCTCCCCCCGCCTGCCCCGTGCGTGTGGTGGCGCCCCCCGAGCGCAAGTACCTGGTGTGGATCGGCGGCAGCGTGCTGGCCTCGCTGCCCACCTTCGCGGACAAGTGGATCACGAGGGAGGAGTACGACGAGTACGGACCTGCAGTCGTACATCGAAAGTGCTTTTGATGTCGCTGTTTTGTAAACGTTGAAGACAAGGGGTGCTGTTTGCGTGCTGTTGTCCGTTAAAGCGTTGGAGGTGCAGCTGACGTTGAATTGGGGTTACGACGTGATGGGCAGCGTGGGCAGTACGGTAGGCGGGTGGATACAGGTATGTGCATGGCGCTAGGATGTGCAATTGTGCATACATGGCAGGAAAGGAGGGGGTGATACAGCAGGTGAAGGCAACGCTTTGGCATGCTGGTATATATAGCTGTCACCGTTTGGCACACATCATGGCATGTTGCATGTTGTTACAGGATGTCGTGAGCTCGTGACCCATGGGTCTGTAGGAGGGGTGCGTGATGGCGGTTTTGGTTTAGGATGAACTATTGAGCTTGTGTGCGGCTTCGGCAGTACCTGTGCGGCACATACCCTCTGCCGAATAAGGTGTGAACATTGCCTAGCTGCTGTTGTGACGCTGCATGTTGCGAGGCATGTTGCCGGAGGTTTCGCATCTTCCTAACCTATATGTTGAACTGCTTGTTAAGCTAGGTTAAGCTACATAAAGTTGCAGTGAACTAGGAAACCTGATTGCATGATTGTATTTAACGACGTTGTACATAGACCTGTAGCATATGTAAGACGTGCACGTATGTGCCGTGTCCAATTTACCTATGGGGCACGGCTTGGGAAGACGCTGGAAGCAAGCTCTATGTCAGGTACATTACACTTTCCTCGTGACTTTGTCAACTCCCTTGCCCTGGACCCCTGTGATTTATCCCTCGGGCACCTTGCGAAAACCGGTATAACCTTTGACCTGCTTCTCCTGAGACGAAGTAACATCCTCCTCATACTACCCCAACGAGAAAACTGTGCGTCAAAAGACTATATGCCTAACTGCAGAAAACTTTGGCGGGCAATATCAGTCAGCACACCAATAGGACCACCCAGCCGCTACGTCAACAGCCGTGTCCATAAAAGAATTATTTACGTGTTGGCGTATATATTTACAACAACAGCCAGCGAACAATCAGCCGCCTCAGCATCCGTCCTTAACCTCTCGGTTGCTATTGATATTCCCAGCTGTACCAGGCTCGGGAGAAATCAACTTCCCTCCCTCCAGATGGGACACAAAAGACAAACAACTATTGCGCCACGTTTACTGGAGTAAAAAAACTAGTGAAGAAACCATTTCAACTTCAGCAATCCTGTCAGCAAACCATCAATCCATTACACATGCAACCCTCTCTCTATCTCACCACCTGCTCAGCAGCAGCAGGCAGCAACCCGCTTACCACCTCCCACTTCCTCAGCCCACAGCTGCTCCATCCACCCACGTCCATCCATCCATCCACATCGCCAACACACCATCCAACCAACTCTCCATTCCTCCACTCCTCCACCTCCTCTGACCCTCCTCTGACCTCTCACTTCTCAAACCCACCCACCAGCCCCGCCACACTCGCCGGCGCACCCCCATCACGAAACACGCTGACCGGCGACATGCCCAGGATGGCCTCCTCGCTGTCCGCGCTGACGTCATCGCTGTCCGCCTGCGACGTACGCCGTACCGCCGCCACCTGCCGTACAAAGCTGCCCGGATCCTCCAGTAGCCAGGGCACCCGACCCACCGCCTGCGAGCCCACCTCGAACCCTACAATCGGCACCACCTCGGGAGCAGCTGCTGTTGCCTCTGCCGCTGCCTCCACCTCCTCTACTGCGCCTGCGCCTGCCTCTACCGCAAAGTCCCCACGTGACCTTCCCTTCCCCGCCGATGCCGCCCTAGGCAGGGGCGGCAGGGAGCCTATAAGCACCGGCACTACCGCCTTCCCGTCCTTCACATCCTCCTCCTCCTCCTTCTCACCCTGCTCCTCACGCACCCGTTGCTGCTGCTGCTGCTGCAGCTTCTCCCGCCACCTCTCCAGCCGCAGCCTCTCCTCCACCGCCGCCCAGCGGTGCATCAGCGCGGGTGTGCGGCGCCAGGGCGGCACCTCCCGCCCGCCGCTGCTGAAGCTGGCCGCCACAGCGGGGGCCAGCCCGCCCACCAGGCGAGACAGACGCGACAAGCTGCCCACGAAGACACCGGCGGTGGCGGCGGGCAGGGCGGCGGCGAGGGCGCGGTGGTAGGCTGGGGTGGCGGGGGCGAGGGAGAGGTGGTCGCGCAGGGCGGGGTCCACGATGACGAGCTCAGTGGAGGTGGAGGTGGAAGAGGAGGAGGTGGAGAAGGTGCGGTTGTCACGGGGGCCTGCGAGGTCGTTGCTGTCGGTGTCACCTGCGACAGAGGGGGAGGGAGGGAGAAGAAGGGGGAACGAAAGGTATAAAGTCAGGTGGCTGCAGGTAGCTGGTACAAGGTGTCAAGGGTTGAGACGTTCTTCCATAACGCAGGTCTGCTGCGCTGGTGGGAAATAGCAGTCATAGAGCATCCGTAACTAGACCAAGACTGCATTCGGAACCTCGCCTCACCTCCTATCGCAAAACTCATCCGCCCTTACTCCCGAACCCCTTGCCAGCCAACTCACCGCCTGGGGCAGCCCCCGCAGTCACGATCAGGAAGGGCGCGTCAATGGACCGGGTCGTGAGGGGCGAGTCGGCGCGCGGCTTGGGCGGCGCAGTGGCGGCCGCCTGCAGCCCGTGTTGGCGCAGGTGGGAGGCCAGGTGGGGGAGCAGGTCGGCGGGTGCTGCGGGCTTGGCGGCTGACAGGAAGTCAGCCACGAGCTGCTGCACCTGGAGGGGTTGACGGAGAACGGAGGAGGAGGAGGTGCAGAAGGGGTTTAGGTCAAGGACGCCGTAGGAACACACAGCGGCCCGGGATGATGTTCCCCCAGATGCGCATCCAGGTTGCAACGTTGGCTGCTTGCCGGTGTATGCTCTAATGGATGCTGGCGTGGCTACCTACAGGATGCAAGGCATCGGTAAGACGCCCTTAGAGCCCAGCCCCCTCCGTCCCCGACCGGCGGATGCCCTGATGCCCTACCTTGGCCTCCAGACTGTCCTTGGCTGCGGCCCTCTCGGTCTCCGTGGCGAAGGGCACCAGCACCGCCCGGGAGAAGGCGCGGTGTGGGCTGCTGACGTCGGACTGCTGCTCCGCCAGGTCGTCGACACGGAACTGCGAGAGGATGGGCAGGCAGGCACACGGCATGACGATTAAAAATCGGTGCAAGGATGGAAACAGCACAAGTCGTGATTATTATCTCGTAAATATGATAGGTTCAAGCTACCATGATAACATAGTGGTTATGTTCAGAAGGAACAACGTTAACGGTGCTGACGCATTGAAACGGCAGTTACCTGTAAGTCATCATCGTCCATGTCAGCGTGAAGCGAGGACAGCGGCTCATCATAAGGTACACTAAAGGCATTTTCTTCGGCTGGGGCCCGTTGGCGCAGAGGGTTCCGACCATTCGCGGGCACGTCGATGGGCTTGGCGACGGCCTTGGTGACGGGCGCAACGTGCTGCGCGGCTTCATGCACGTTGCGCACAACAAACGCACTCGTGGCGCACCATAACCTTGGGCGTGTTGCGACGAGCCTGGACTGCGGTCGGTCCGAAACTGCCGTTGGCTGCCGGTGTCAGCGAGTGTGAGTTACCCATAGTGAGGCTTTGAACGAGACAACTTTGGATGGCTAGGGAGTATTAGGCTTTGCAGATGTACTGTAGAGGGAAGTATTTGATTAAAAAGAGAAGGCCTCAGCCTATTTTATGCTGGAAGTTGCATGGGCCGTGCAACGCGTTGCGCAGGCCGTCAGGCCACCAGGTACAGTAAAACGGCCCAAAGGCCTCCTCGACTATCGTCCAAAAATAACCAAGGATGCGTACGGTATGTATATAAGACAGTAACAAAAATCATCGCTCGTGCGCATCTGCCGCGCTACGTGTTTCGCCCACTCGTTCATCGTCACACGAATCCACTGCAAACGGACCGAAAGGGCCACAGCCTGCGCCGATTGCTATAAATATTGGGTCGGATTGTTAACCATAGACACCTTGGAGAACAACCCATTTTGCATTATGCATGCTCATTCGTTCGCTCCGGCCGATGCACAAAAGGCTCAGAAGCAGTAGTCAACTAGTGACGCTTCTTGGTAGATTTAAACCACGTCTCTATCTTGTCGCGTTCCACCTTAGTTATGGGTCCGAAGTCCATGTTCCTCAATCCAGGCAGGTGGGCAACCACCCAGAACTGCGGCACGAGAGGGTGCAACCGGAGGTTACGCAGGGGTTAGGAAAGAAACCAGGTGATCAAGTGTACCTATTATGCCACGTGGATAAGGTAGGAGAGTCGTCCGTAAGCAGCTGTTCGTCCAGCTCGTGAAAGAACATAACTCGTTCGCCACCAACAACACAAGAACGCTCTCCGGTGGTTTCATGTTACCAGGGCAATGCACTACTATTGCTCCCCATGCCTCAAAGACATGACTCGCGCAGCCCAAGCCTTCCAGAAGGACCACTCCCGCAGCCCTCCCCACACCTTGTAGTTCTTCGCCTCCGCAATGGGGTTGCCGTGCAGCGTCAGCTTTTGCAGCTTCGGCAGCCCCTGCAGCTTGAGCACGTCGTTGATGTTGGTGATGTTGTTGCCGTGGTAGTACAACACCTGTGTGCCGTACAGGGGTGGGCTTGGTTCAGTGGCGTCATCCAGCAGTTTAAGGCGAGTGAGTGTCACACGGCTCAGCACCGCACAGCAGGACCGCTCGATGTCACGCCGGAAGGAGCCCATAGCAGAGGGGATTCCGCGCTTTCATGGCAACGTGCACCCCATGCACCTTTCACACCACCTAGCGCTCGTGTTCTCCGGCACCCCCTTCCCGCACTCCCTTCCCGCACCCGCACCTGCAGCGAGGGGAACTCCAGCACCGCCTCCTCGATGGTGCTCAGCTGGTTGGACGACACGTCCTGAGGGGGTGGGGAAAAGAGGGAGGTGGTGGTTTTGTGGGATCAGCATGACTGGACTTGGAGTTGTTTTAGTATAAGGAGAGGCTGTTGGAGTGCCAAGTATATCGCAACAGCAGGCAGCGACCTGGAGAAGGTAGGGGTTGCACTTGAAACATGGCATACCGGTATGAGGGCCAGTTGACGGAGCCATGCGAAGGCCGCTAGGGTGCCTCCAAGTAGCTGACTCCGCTGACGCACCCATTCTCGTCGCACAGCATCCCTCTGCCCACTCGCGCCCGCACCACCACCCGCCACCCCGGCACCCAAAGCCCCGGCCCCGGGCCCACAGCAGATCCCCACTGCGGCATGCAACACGTCGTCCTGCCCCAGGGCTACCCACTGCAACTCGGCAGCGGCACCCTGGCCACGAACCCGGCCCCAGCTAGGCAGACGCACTCCTCCCCACGTGCCACTGGCCGGCCTCACAGGGCTCCCCTCCCCCTTCCCTAGTCCCTGACCCGCCCCCGCCCCGTTGCTCCTCACCAGCCACACCAGCTGCGCGGGGTCGTCCAGCACGTGCGGCATCACCCGGCCCAGCCCGCTCAGCGACATCAGGTGGTTGTTGCACAGCCGCAGCGAGTTGGAGTTCAGCTTGGCGCCCAGCGCACCTCCGGCCCCTGCTCCGCCCGCACCCCCCGCTGTGGCGCTGCTGGGCTGTGCCGTCAGCTGCTTCCCTCCACCGCCGCCCGTGTTCCCTGCACCGCCGTTGGACGCTGCGGCAGCACCCACGGACGGCGTCCCGCCGCTGCCGCTACCTCCCCGGCCCGCGCCTAGGAGCCCTGCGCCCCCCCTGCCGGTGCCTAGAAGGGCCACGGAGGGACTGGCGAGGTCCGCTGCTGCCGCCGCCGCTGCGTCCTGTGCCGCGTGTGCTGCCGCGTCCTGTGCCGCTAGGGCCTCCAGGTATTCGAGTGGAGAGGCGTCTGGTGAGAGGGCGGGCTTGCGGGCCGTGCCGCTGGTGGGCTCGACCAGCACTAGGTCTGGAGGGAGAGGAAAGCAGGGGAAGGGGAGGAAGGAGAGGGGAAGGAGTGCACAGTGCAGGCAAGCATTGCATTGTTTGGATAGGCACAAGCCTTACTCGGGCGCAAGGACGCTGTTGGGTAGCCGGACAGGGCTTGCGGAGCAGGGGATGCAATGCTGTGTACGTCGGGCACGCCTGGGCACAAGTCCAACGTCCCAGGCACTATGCGCTACAGTTAAAGCTGCGGCTTACCAATGACGGTTTTAAGGTCCTTAAAGGAGTAATCCACGGGCGGACCAGCAGCCAGCTGCTTCTGCTCCGAAATGGGCTGTATAAGCCAATCCGCCCGGTGCCTTCCGCTAGTGCTAGGTGATGTCCCGATGTCACCCGTTGTAGGTGACATATTGAGCGATTGTCGGGGAATGTCTGTCGGAGTACGCGACTGTACAGTCTACACAAGTTCTAAGAGCACGTCGCTAAAGTCGCCAAGTGAGAAAAGCTAAGTAACGATTCCACTTGTAATATGCAGTTTTTGCTGGTATGCTAAACATTATGCCATCCTTTCTAGAAAACGATATACGTAGGGTTAGCCTACGGAACTCTGTTAAATATTATTGCTTGACCAGCAATATAACAGTGCAGCAGATTCACTTTCATAGACGTCTGCAAACGCGAGTGGTGACAGGAGATAGAAGGTACGGAACATACCGGTACGAACTGAGGGTCGCTCACTAGGAGGGATATTTTGCACATAATCAGCTGGCAGTCTGCTCATTTGAACAAAATGGGACTTATTCCTGATCTGCTGGGGGCCGTTGGGAAGCCACTTGAACTGACCTATAAGTCTACCAAGCTAGCGTTTCAGTTACTAAGCGCCCGGCGGGTATTGAGCGTCGCCGATCAGTTCGCATCATTCGCACTAGACATAAACGGCAAGACGGCGATATCTCTCACCTGGTTCGCCGTCAAGTTCGTCCATGGCAGCGTCGTATGCGGGAAGTCGGCCGCAAGGACACACGCCTTTGTGGTAAAGGAGTGCACTGATGCAGGGGGTGGCAGCACGGACAGGAATCTGCAAGCAGGCCTAGACGCAACTCTTGCACGTATTGACGCTGGCGTTACGACAGTCGACCCCCTAGTACACGCCGGCCTGCTCTTCCTCCGCGACTGCCTGGCACGCCGTGAAGCAGGCGATGAAGAGGCCAGGAAGCGCTTCGCTGGCCCGGATGGCCGGCTGAATGTACGAGCTGCGTTGAAGGCACTGTACGGCACCGCTGCATCCCAGAAGCTGGCGGATGCGCTGGCGGCAGCACCTGCCAAATGCGAGGGGCTGCAGCAGCTGCTGGATGGCGTGTATGAGGAGCTCCGTACGGCACTCCGCAGGGACCTGCTGGCTTTGTTCGTCCTGTGAACGTTGTGGCGGCTTTGACTCTGGCACCCTAAGGCACGTGTGGGGGTTAGGCGCCTTAGGCGCATGCTGTTTATTGAACTGCCTGTAGATGGCCCTTGTTAGTCACCCGGTAGGCATAGCCATAGCTGTGATGGGCCTGGTACACGTTTACGTTCTTTTGGTTTGGTTGGTTGGCGGTGTTTCCTCCTGTTCAGGCTGTTCTGTTGAGAGGGGTTTCTGATGCCGTGGTCGTCACGTACCTCTCAGTTCGCAGCAGGGTATGTACTCATGCATTGTAAGGTAGGCACAACCGGGTACATGGTTCATTCTCCAAGACCCTGGGCCGTAATTTAATATCGCCATGTTGCCCCTGTGGAATACACGTGGGCCGTATAGTCACAGGACATTCCAGTAGTCACAGGACGGTTGTTAGTGTTGGACTGCTGGTTGCTTAGTTCGGGGGAATCAGCGTCACCCGTGCCGCTGCAGAGGCTGGCAGGCACGGTGGCAAGGCAAAGTGTCGGGAGGCGTGGCAGGCGTGCTCGCATTTGCTAAGCGGCTTTGCGTGCGGTTGGACGCGTATTCTGTGTCCGGTGGTGAAAGACCTGGTTACTGTTCATACAGGTGTGGTGAAAGCGTCGTATGGTGACTTATTTATCGCAGAGGAACCGACTTGTTTGGGCTCCGTCTCTTGCATTGGTAGCGGTAATCACTTACCATAAAAACAGTCAGGTGTACAGAACCCAGACGTTTAGACACATTTTGGTGACGTTAGTGACCCATGGGTCAAGGCCAAAATGCGGCGAAAGTGCTAGCAAGTGTAAGCGCACTAACATGCAAAGCGACTATACCGCCGAGCATCAGTTGCAGTGGAAATGGCAATCCCTGCGCTGGGCACACCCCTGTGGAACCTGAATCACGGAACTCGGCACATGCCTAGCATGTTTAGGCTGCGACCAAGGTGTCCACCTCCTTTCTACACGCACAGAAAGCGAAGCCTCTTAGAGTGTTGGAGAAGCTGACTCCACCTATACTGCAGCTTCCTAGAAGAAAATTGCGTTAGCGCCCAACCAACACAGGTGTACGACAACTAGCGGTTTACCGTTTGCATCTTGGATGGTCCAATACTTGCACAGAACAGGAGCCGGTAACGCACTGCACCTTGAGCCCTTATCAGACATCCTGGCATCACCTTTTCTACGCGTTTTATAACCGTGAGAGTTGTGAAGTAACATCACAAACGTCGCTTGGCACGGCCAAACTCTGAGCCTACAAAAACCAACCCAACGCACTCCTCATTCGCGCGGATCAGGCCACTGCAATGGACAACCTGGTAAGCACTGCGGGGCGGCAAGGCCGCGGGCTGTAACTGAAGCAGCTTTTGTTGGGTCCTGCTCAAGCACTGTGGCTGTGTGTCGGCCATTCCAAGGTAAAAGCTGCCCTGCCCTGTTAACGCCAGCAAAAAAAACGTCACGCTTCACTGCATGCCAAGTCCGCCTCTTCTCGGGGTTACCGGTAGCTCCGTGCACGGAAGTGTTAGCTACGTGCACCGAAGGACAGCAAGCTAAAGCAGGCGCACTACGACTCCGGTGAAGGGAAAGCTTAGCGGCCGGATTAACGAAGCACATGTGCAGGCATACGTATACGTCCCCGCGTCTCCTACCCTCTAGGATTTCGTGCAAACCGGCTGACGGGGCCCCTCTCGACCGTCTTGTTCCTGCACGGACGTCGCAATGCCCATTGCCTTGTCCTATCATATTGCAATCCACCCCTCGCAGGAGGGCTTCGAGCGCCGCGCCGATCCGGGCGACCGCGAGCAGCAGGAGCTGCTGAGCGAGATGCGCTCGCACCTGAAGAAGGTGGGCTTGCCGTATTTTGTTCATCATCACGTGCCGTACCATCATGCCGTACCACGCATGGATGTTCAAGTGCTCTGCTCTCATACTGCTGCCAGGTGTTGTTGACAGTGGTAGCTGGCCCGCATGCAATGAAACGGGCTCTCGTATGTTGACATGTACGAACATGCATGGGTCGTGAGACGGGTCGGTGAGGATAGAGCATGTTGCTGATTGTTGCTTACCATAGGCCACCGGTCTAGCCTGGCCGCTAACCCTTACGCCTGCTGCAGCTGCAAGACATGACCAAGGATGCGGACCCGCGCCTGAGCTTCTCCACACCCGAGTTCAAGGAGGCTCAGCGGGCCTTCACGGACGGGTTCAAGGTGGGTGGTGGTTGGGTAAAGAGGAAACGACTAACGAACCATGTGATAAGGCGTCATCATGGTGGTTGGGTGGTGGTTGGGTGGGGGACATGAAGGGTACATACGGTACATCTGACTGGCGAGGGTGGACTAGGTGGGATTATAGGGGCAGGTTGGGCCTTACGTCTAGATATGCGATGAGAATGGTAACAAGCACGTCGGATAGGTTGGCTGCATGTGTGCATGACGACAGAATGCAAGCCGTTCTGCGTACTTGACGTGAAAGCATACAAACATGTACCGGTGTCGAAGGTATGGCATGCCAGTCTTGGGTTGCTTGCCGATTGTGCTGCCAGCAGATGAAACCCGGCACTCGTGCATGACCTGGCTGGCATGGTGTGCAAACCTGCCGCAGAGGAACTTCGGGCGACCTGTGGAATGGGCAATGGTCAAGGAGTATCCATGGTCTGTGCCACAATTGCGGAAGCTTGACACGCCGGTAGACGTGAACGGCCAGCCCTGGGTGGCGAAGTAAGTGCGGCATCACGATGTCAACCCTAGAGGAGAGAGTGCCAATTGATATGGGTGCAGGTTATAAGGGTACCAGCAGGAACCAGTGATGTATTATACTACTTAATAAGCTGTGTGGGTAAGTCTGAAGCTCGTTGTTGGATGTTCACCCTAGCCAGGCCGAGCCAACGGCAGTTCGGGGCTGACGATTATCCTTGACGGAAATAACAGTGGTTTGCAGCCGGTTGTGTTACACGTACGAGTAGCCTAGTTCTGGTTTCCTACTTAGCAGCGTCAGGGTTACGTCCAGTTTCATGCTGTGTCGGAAGACGACAGCTTTCCAGGAGAAATTCATCGGCTACCTGGCGCTAGCATTGAAAGTGTTAGAAGTTGTAAGCTGAAGACAACTCCGCACCTCTTTAGCGGACCAAGGATCTTGTTGAGAACCCTGGCATCGCGATCGGGCGTCGTTCGAGTACCTTTTTCCTTTTGCCGTATCTTTACGCACAAGTACCCAGTGGCGCTGTGACAGCTAATTCATTTGTCCTATTGTAAACTGAAAGGTTGGGACGTGACAACCTCGGCCCGAGGCTCGGGCACCTTTCTTTGTGTCACTCTGGGTAGAACACGAGATGCAGTCACTGAAGCTGCCAAGCGCTTCTCACAGGAGCTTGGTGTCTAGTGTTCCATCCTCAGTGAAGGTTATCCCTCGCGTGGGTGTTCGCCAGCTCCCTCTTTCAGGGCCATCAACCGAGTCGGTCTCGTCCGCGAAGTAAGCTATTGTTGATAGGTTATAGGTTACTGCCAGTGAAACATTAGGTATTAGATCTATTGCAAAGATCAGCCGGTGCTTCCTGCACGTGCGTCATACCGGTTATGTTAACTTGATGGTCGCCCTACTCTGAACTTCCCCGGCCCTGCATCACTCGCAGGTCAATCAACGCTCCCCGGAACGTCTCAGCATCTGTTGCCAAGATGTTGAACGTAAGTACGCAGTACCAATGGTGGAACATGTGAGATCAGTTGGCTCCTCAGGAAAAGCGACATATGTTGGGAGGAACATAGAAAACGCTGTGTAGGCTCCACGTGAAAAGGGTTTGTGCAGCATCTTTATATAAATTCACCGACAAATGCAGACTGCGAGCTCGGCCAAGAAGGTGCCGTTGGTGAGCGAGCTGCCGGCATGGCAGGCACTGAAGGAGCACGTCTCTGATATTGAGAAGACGTAAGTAGTTAGGGCTCGATTGTGTAGCGGTTGCCTCGGGATGATCTCGCTTGGGCACTGTTTCTTCTAGCCGCGTGTGTTTGCCATATTGAGACCGGATAATGACCACGATAGCACGACCCTTGCATAGTGCGCGCGGAGAAGAGCAGCATAATAAATGGGTTCGCGTCGCTGCATGCTGCATGCCGCATACCAGTCCATCACCGCAAGTCGATTTCAGGTCGGCCCTTGCTGTTGCAGCCCTTGCTCATACTCTCCCCAGTTCGTTACCTGAATCATACTCTGCATGCCATCCATCCTCCGTCTTCCTCGACCCAACGTCTTCCTCTCTCCTCTTTTCCACGCCTCCATCTAACTCCCTCTGCACTTCCTTCATACGGTCTTCTCCCCATTCCTCCTCTGCTCTCCCCATCCCCTCCCCTCTTCTTTCCTCTCATATCCTCTCTGCGCCTCAGCCACCTGCGCGACCTGCTGCACGACGAGGCTCGCTGCATGGCGCTCATCAAGGAGAGCGAGGGCATCTACTGCGACTTCACGCGCCAGCGGGTCACGCAGCGCACCCTGGAGGTGAGCACCCTGGAGGGAGGGGAGGGCGGAAGGATGGGAGCTTGTGAAGGAGGGGAGGGAGGGAAGGATGGGAGCTTGTGAAGGAGAGGAGGGAGGGAATGATGGGAGCACTTGTGAAGGAGGGGGGGAGGGAGGGGGAGAAAGGCACGCTGAGCCGCGAGGAAGCACTGCCCGGGGGCGGGCAGGGGGCGCGGAGCAGTGCGGAGTGGGAACAGGGAGGGGCCAGCAGGGCAGGGGCAGCAGACCGCCTCCTGGCTCTACGGGGGGAGGAAACAGGAAATGAGTCCGGGGCTGCCGACACACATCCAGTCTTGTGTGTGCCGAGCAGCTTCACCCACCACACATGTCAACAGGCCCCTCACTCGACAGCTGTCCACCTCCTAGTGCTGCATGGTTGCGCGTCCGTCCTAGTGCGTCCCTTGGTCTTCTTTTGCTCGCTGCCGAGCCGGGCCACGGCATTGGGATTCCTCTTAGCGCCTCACTTCTCCCCCTTACCACCCCTCCACTTCCTCACCACCTCCTCCCTCCTCCCCATTCAACGCATTCTCGTTCAACGCATTGGGAATCCTTCCACCTCCCTCTCCCCCCCCAGCTGCTGTACGAGCTGGCCGAGCAGTCCAACCTGCGCGGAAAGATCAACGCCATGTTCAACGGCGAGCACATCAACAGCACGGAGGACCGCGCGGTGCTGCATGTGGCAACTCGCGCGCACAGGAACCAGGTGGGCGGGAGGCGGGGGCAGGGAGGCGGGGCAGGGGCAGGGAGAGAGAGGTGGGAAAAGAGAAGCAGGAATACCGGTCTAGGAATTGTGTAGGAGAGAAGAGTACGCGGTGAATGGAGGGGAGCAAAGCATACGAGAGAGGGTACGGTCTCACCGGGAGGGTGACTGGAAACCCCTGGGCAGCAGCAGCACTGGCACCAGCAACAACAGTACGTCAAGCAGCACATCCCAGTAGGGAAAGCTACAGCGACCGGCAGCGGTTCTGCAGCAAATCGGTGGGAAAGAAGTCCAAGAAGGTTGGCCATGAGGGGCGCTGCAGAGCTGGGTGACCCATGGGTCAGCCTCAACCCCTCTCCCTCCCCCCCCTCCCTCCCCACCTCTCCCTCCGTCCCACAGAAGATCTTCGTTGAGGGTCGCGACGTGGTTCCCGACGTGTGGGAGGTGCTGGACAAGATCAAGGCCTTCAGCGACAAGGTGCGCAACGGGCAGTGGCTGGGCGTGACGGGCAAGCCGCTGAAGAGCGTGGTGGCTATCGGCATCGGCGGCTCCTTCCTGGGGCCGCTGTTCGTGCACACGGCGCTGAGGTGAGGAGGGGAGGAGGGAAGGGGGGTTATGAGGGGGCAGGGGAGGCGGGAAGAGGGAGAAGGGATGGGTGCTGGAGGTGTGAAACTAAGAGACTAAGGTTAGCGTAAGCCCGAACCGAAATGGCAGACCGTCCACTTCCTCGGGTACCACCTTATCCCACCCTTATCAGCTCCCTCGCCTTGCCCTCCATCCTATTGCTCTCCATCCTGATTTCCCTCCCCAACTCATCCCCCTACATTCTAAGCCCCCCTGCCCCCGGGCATCTCACTACCTGCGTTACCACCGTACCCTACCCTACCGTGCCGTTCCACCCAATCCCCCCTACCCCCCCCCGGTCCTCAGGACGGAGCCCAACGCCATGCGCGCCTCCCGCGACCGCTCGCTGCGCTTCCTGGCCAACGTGGACCCCATCGACGTGGCTCGCGCGCTGGACGGGCTGGACCCCGAGGAGACGCTGGTGGTGGTGATCAGCAAGACCTTCACCACCGCGGAGACCATGCTGAACGCGCGGACTGTGAGGAGCTGGCTGATCGCACGGCTGGGTGGGTGGGGCGGGGCGGGAGCGGGAGGGGGCGAGAGAGGGAGAGGAGAGGAGGAGAAGCAGGGCCAGCGGGGTGGAGAGGGAAGGAGAGGGAGAGGATAAGGGCTTTCGCGCCGCATGTGTGTTTGGCCGCCGTCGCCGTCATGTGCTCCGCATTCCGTTACCTGACCTGTCCTACCGCTCCCCTCTCCCCCCCCCTGTACCCCCCCTGTAACCCCCCAGGCTCCGAGGCGGTTGCCAAGCACATGGTGGCGGTGTCCACCAACCTGAAGCTGGTCAAGGAGTGAGTGCGGGGGGCGGCCGGGGGGGGAGGGCGGGCTTGCCACGTTGCTGAAAGGAGGGAACCCTAACCTCAACTCCTCTCCTTGTTGACAGACTCCCCCCCCTCCCCCTCCCACCAGGTTTGGCATCGACCCCGAGAACGCGTTCGGCTTCTGGGACTGGGTGGGCGGCCGCTACTCGGTGTGCTCCGCGGTGGGCATGTTGCCGCTGTCGCTGCAGTACGGGTTTGACATCATGCAGGTGGGGGCCGGAGAGGAGGGGTGGGTGTAGAGGAAGAGAGACTTAGAGGAAAAGGCAGAGGGAGAGAAAGAGAGGTGCGGAGGCGGGAGTGGTGGTAAACCGCTTGTGTGGCTGACGTGGCTTTGCATGTTGCATGTCCTGAAGGCAAGGCGCCCTTACCCCCGCCTCTCCCCCCACCCAATACACACAGGAGTTCCTTGCCGGCGCCAACAACATGGACGAGCACTTCAAGAACCAGCCCTACCAGGACAACCTGCCGGTGCTGCTGGGGCTGCTGTCGCTGTGGAACGTGTCCTTCCTGGGGCACGGAGCCAAGGCTATCCTGCCGTACTGCCAGGTATGGGCTTAGGGAAGGGCAGGGCTGGGTGGGAGTGACATCGGGAGCAGCGCAGGCATCTTTCTCCCTCCTCCTGCTGTAGTACAGCTTGTCCTGTGCGTTTCTCGACTGCCGTGCACAGCCGCCACTTAACTCCCGCCTCCTGGCTCCACAGTCCGCGTCACCATCACTCTGTCCTCGTGTGCCCCTAACCCCATCTCTCCCCCTCCCCCCTCCCCCATCCCTCCCCCCCCCCTCCAGGCCCTCTCCAAGCTGGCCCCGCACATCCAGCAGGTGGACATGGAGTCCAACGGCAAGGGGGTGGACATCAACGGAGTGCGGCTGCCCTTCGAGACGGGCGAGATCGACTTCGGTGAGGAGGGAGGGAGGAGGGGAGGAGGGAGGCAGGCAGGGGGAGGGACTTTGGTAGAGTGCCACTAGCTGGCATCGCCATGGCTCACCATTACCACCACCACCACCGTGCCACCACCACCGCCACCACTCGGCTCTTCCAGTCCAACCCGCGCGTCAGCCGGCCGGCTACCTAGCTGCGGCAGCTGCTGCTGCAGTCCTCATGCAGCCCCTATGTGTGATTTGATCTCGTGACTGCAAGCTTCACCTCCCACTCCTCACCTCCCACTTTCTCACCTCCCATCCCCCCTCCCACTCCCCCCCCCCTCCCCCCCCAGGCGAGCCCGGCACCAACGGCCAGCACTCCTTCTACCAGCTCATCCACCAGGGCCGGGTGGTGCCGTGCGAGTTTATCGGCATCGTGCGCAGCCAGCAGTCCGTGTACCTGAAGGGAGAGGTGGTGTCCAACCACGATGAGCTCATGTGCAACTTCTTCGCACAGGTAGGGGTGGGCGGGGGCGGGAGGGAGTGAGTCAGACACCATAGGAAACCACAGGGGGGGTGAGGCGGGGCTGTGCGGGCGGACTGTTCGGGTGCTGGTGCTGCTGCTGCTGTTTCTGTGCGCTCTTACGATCCTTCTGCACCCACGGAATCCCTCCTTGACTCTCCTAACCGCCCCCCCCGTTTCTTTCCCTCCTCCTGTCCTCACCCTCCTCACCCTCCACGCTCCCTCCCGCCCGCTCCACACAGGCCGACGCGCTAGCCTACGGCAAGACCCCCGAGCAGCTCCGCTCCGACAACGTGCCCGACTACCTCATCCCGCACCGCGTCTTCACCGGCAACCGCCCCTCGCTATCCATCATGATGCCGTCCTGCTCCGCATACACCGTGGGGCAGCTCCTGGCAATGTACGAGCACCGCATTGCCGTACAGGGCTTCATCTGGAACATCAACAGCTTCGACCAGTGGGGCGTGGAGCTGGGCAAGGTGCTGGCGTCAAAGGTGGGGAGGCTGGGGGGTGGGCCGGTGGGGGCGGGGAGGGAGGAGGGGAGCGTGGGGTTAGGTTGATGTGGTGCTCTGTGCTCTTTCCGCAGGGCAACCGGCACCGGCACACGTGTTTTCACCTTCACCACAAGCAAGCCAAGTCAAGGCTGGAAGCCCTGCGCACCATCTCCTTCCCTATCCAACACCTGCCTCTCCCCCTCTTACCCTGCCCCTCTCCCCTCACTCCCTCCCCCTCCCTCCCGACAGGTCCGCAACACCATGAACGGCGTCCGCACCCGCGACCGCAAGGTGCTGCCCCAGGACGGCTTCAACTACAGCACCACCCGCATGATGAACAAGTACCTGGAGGGCAAGACGCAGGTGCTGTACCCGGAGGGGCACGACGTGTTCCCCATCGACATGCTGCGGGGCGGCGCGACGACAGCGGCAGCTGCCGGCAAGCTGTGAGCGGAGGCGGCGGACGACAGCAGCGCGGTGAGGAGTGGGTGCTTGATAGCTAAGCGGTTTGGCGGTAACAGGCAGTAGTGTCGCGCTAAGCGGCGGCGGCGAAGGAGGAGGGGCTGCTTGTTTGCACAGGAGGAGTTGCAGGGATGCGGATGTTCAGCTGGCAGCGCCAGCCCTGCATGCGGGTGCTTGACAAGGAAAAGAGGAGCCAGAAGGAGGATAACGGCTTGTTGCACGTGCTGGAATGTGGGGGAGTGCGGAAATGTATGCGGCTGGCGCAGCTTGCGCCGGCGCGGGCAGAGCAACAGGGCGTTGACAGACAGGGCCTGGACAGGGAAGGAAGGAGGTTGCAATCCGGACATGGTGCCCGTCTCCGCTCATGCACACCATTGCAGGATGGTTTGCCTGGGTTGCGGACGGAGATGATACAGCCTGGCTCGCATTGTTGTTGTTGTTGTTGAACGCCGCGGGTGGCGTTGGGCGGCGCGTGTTGGATGCAGCCCCTGTTGGACTGAGGCGGAGGAGGCGTGGTCTGAAAGCCCACGTGGAGCAAAGGGGCAGGCAGGTTCCCGAAATGTGCGGCTCGCTGCTACTGGTTGCCCAGGCACATGCATGGGCGGAAGCGGTATGTGGCGCCTTCGCTATGGTTCGGACCCAACTCTCGTAAAATAAGGGCGCAGCAGTGTAGGGCAATGGCTGCGTGCCGCCCTAGACTGAGTGCGTAGGGAGTGGCAGTAGCGAGACGTGCTCAGAGCAGCTGCCCTGCTGTGCGAGGCCGCCTAGGTAGTGCATGCAGTGGCGCGAAGATGTTGCGGCAATTGTGGATGGTGAAGGTTGCGGCATGGATCATTACTCGTTGGTCAAGCCCAGTGCATGTGTGAACGTTTTGCACTTGTACAGAATACCGTGTATGACAGGGACGTGTGCAGTCGGTGCATGAAGGCACGGCCCTGGCCATCTGTTGTGGAGGCTTGCAGGGAGCAAGGCGGTTGGAGCGCAGCCTAGTGGCCCATTTTTGCTACCGGTTTTGTGCCTGTTATGCCTGGGCGACTCAAAACCAGTTTGTAGATCCGGAATTACCGGGGTGTGCTGCTTGTACGTAGAAGCCGTATGATAAGCGTACGGCTGTGATCGACAGTGATGACAACTGTACGACTGATTACCGAACTCTACTGTTAAACCGTATGTATGATGGCCTCCCTGCAATTACCTCCGATGGGAAAGATTGCAGAGTTTACATCATGCTGCACATGCAGCCCTGCAGACTGTGAGGCTCTTACTCCTGCCTTGCGTATCAGGGCATCACACAAACTAAAACTAAAACCTCCCATGCACCAATCTTCTGATGGAGCTTCACTCAGACCAACATTGCACAACGACGTCGTACCGCTAAACCTAGGTAACATGTAGGGTCCAATCACCTGCTCCATCTGCATGCATGCATGTGGTTCATGTCTGAACCATCGCTCGCTCGCTAGACACACTCTGTGCCCAATACTGTTCCCACTCATCTAAACCGTTCTGCACCAACTGTGCACCTCGCCTGCTTCATTAAAACCTGCCCATGTATGCTGCGGCAGTCCTGCCTGCCCCCTGCTAGCGCTTACTGGACACATGGAAACCCAACCCCGTGCAGACAGCAGCAACATTACAACGCCCTGACCACTCCGCCACCACACCTCCTCCCCCTCCGTCACACCATAACCTAGTACTGCCCCGCCCCCACCCCCCCTGCACCACATGAACTGTGCACCACGTCACGGCAGCTGCTCCCTAGCGCCCCTGCTTGGGCCCCCGCAGCGCCACCACCAGCTCCACCATGAGGTCAGGGTTGGCCGCCGCCAGCCGCCTCAGACTGTCCCGCGCCCGCTCCGCCACCTCCTCTGCATGCGCCAGGTACCACTCCTTCAATGAGCTCCGCAGCTCGACAAAGCTCCCGCCGCTGCCCACATGCGTGTCCGCCCACAGCAGCGCATCCAGCACCGTGTCCACACTCACACACACCCGCACCACCTCCTGCGCCCACCGGCTCAGCTCCGGCAGCAGCAATCTCTCCGCCAGCTCTGCCAGCCGCATTGCCTCCGCCATCCCGCCCTGCACCTCCACGGGGCCGCCCGTGTACAAGTACCGAAGTACCTGGCGGAATGCCTCGGGGCAGGCCTCAGGCAGGGGCAGCGTGACGAGGATCTGCTGCTGGTGATGGTGCTGCTGCTGGGGTGGCTGGTTTGACCCAGTCGTCCTGGCCCCCACTGACGCCCACTCACCGTCCAGCAGCCTCCAGAAGAACTCACTGCGGGCCGCCAGGATGCCTCTGTGTGCGGTGAAGCAGGTGTCACCCACCTGGATTTGGATGTCTGCGGTGTTGTCGTTGGGCTGCCTGTCCAGCAGCGCCCCCAGGTCGGCAGCCAGGGTGTGGGGCCGCAGGATGTGGTGGAGTCCGGGTGCCGCATGTGGCCCCACTTTGAAGTGCAGCTTGAGGCCCAGGTCGAGGAGCAGTAGGTAGGATCCACATGTGAGTACCAAACAGCCGTTAGGCAGCACTCCCAGTGGGTAGCAGGTTGGAGGCAGGGAGGTGATGAGTGTGACCTCACCGGCTGGTGAGATGTGCTTGAGCAGGCCGATGTACTGTCCGTCCTCACACTCTCGCTCCTCGAGGACCAGCACCTTGCCCTCTCCGTCCACCACCAACCCCATGATCTCTTTGAAGCGGCGCAGGTCGGCCGCATCTGCCGCCATGACCTCGTCAACAGTGGGCACCACCACCACCTGCTGATCCCTTTCTGCAGCCAGCTCCTTGAGCTCCTTCTTGGCTTCCTCTTGTTCATCCAGAAGCATTTGAGCGGCAGCATCTTGGTCCTCGTCCTCGCTCCCGCTGCTCTCCTCGTCCTCATCCTCGCCCTCATCTGAGCTGTCACCAGAGGGCTGGTAATCCGGATCATCGCCGTCCTCATCGTCCTCACCCTCACTATCCTGGACAATGTCGAGGTCCTCCGCACCCGCCAGCAGCACTGGCACCCTCCCGGCCGCAGCCGCAGCTGCAGCCGCAGCCGCACCGGCGCTCTGAGGGCCACCCGCCACCGCTGCATCTCCTCCTGTCTCCTGCAGACCCTCCTGCTGCTGAGGCTGCTGCTGCTGCACCTCCTGGTCTTGCAGCGGGAAGCGATAGACGGCCTTGGTGGTGGAGAAAATGAGGGAGTTGCTGGCGGGATCGAACCTCAGACCCCTCAGATGCGCCGGTGCGGTGAACAGCAGCTGCTCTTCCGGCTCCTTCTGCTGCGCCTGGGGGCCCGTGTCGCCGATTGCACACGTGGGTGATGCAGCTGCATCCTCCCGCCAGGATGCTGGCACCTGCATCTTGTACACCATTTTTCCTTCTCGCAGATAGTATAAGGCCCCCTTGCCGTTTGGAACCATGCCGTGACCGGGTCGGTCCATGAGGACCTGAACGCTGTTGTCACTGTGCAGACGCAGCAGGCGCTCGCGCTCCACAAGAATGACACTGCCGCTGTAGCCCTCCCAAAAGCCTCCCCAGAAGCCGGACGGTGAGATGTACGGCTGTGGCCCCGCGGGTGCTCCGGTGGCGCCGTCTGGGCGTTGCAGCAGCTGCAGGGGCTCTCCCAGGGAAAAGCGCAAATGCTCGCGATCACCCAGGAGGGGACGCAACTCTCGGTCGTTGGTGATAACGAGCGTCTGCGATCCATCATCCGACCTGCCTCTTAAGATCGGTGAGGTGATTATATTACAAACACCACCGTTAATCTTGAGTGCGCAGTGGAGGATATTAAGGTCAAGCATGTTGCTGACAAGGAAGTGGCGATCAAGCTTAAAGCGCCCAGCCGTAAGGGTCGAGAAACATACAGAGCTTTTGGTATTGAAGGTAGGACGTTTCTGAGGCAGCAGTTTGGCAGCATCCCAACTGGCTTGCCCGCCCAAGATGTGTACGGCCGAATGCATGTATGTTGCGCTTATCAGCGCGAGTCCGGCAGTCATGATCCAGCGAAACATTCCTAGGGAGGATGTAGTTAGATTTCGTAAATAAAAAACAACTCGCATCGCCGGACTTTTTCATTGCTGGTGGTTAGCTGTGTCATTGGCTTGGGATCTGTGCCCTGCTAGGAGCGATTGTGTCTGCAGGTCTCCCGATCAACTTGCGAGGCGTTTCTGCTCAACGTCTGCGATCATGCAAGGCCACCCTCCTGTACCGGTATATGTCGGTAATAACCACTAGTCGCCGCAAACCTCCAGCGGCCGAGTGGTAGAGACGATGGGCCGGGTACGGGCTGCAGGAGACCATTATGGGTCGGTCAACATGCTTTGTTACATTTTCCATAGCTTACACTTGGTGGTTTCTGCGAACGAACGCAAACCACCAACGCCACGCTGGATCACGTCGTGGTGGCCCCCTGTAAGGCCGCTGTGTGCAGGTGCCACTCCTCCTTACTTGCGCGTATACTCGGAACCTGCATGGGGGGGGGCAGCGGTAGTGGGTGCGGCAGCCCAGGTTACGAGAACCTATCTTTCTAGGAGGTCTCACGGCAAAACGTCCCATTCGACATTCGGAAGGCGCTCCTTCCAGGCCCTCCACTGAGGCTGGGAACCCCACTTCCATATGCACGTACAGGGCACGTACAACTCAACAGGCGATATGCACTCGCCCCCTTCCCCGTGCAACAGCTCCTCCTGCTAGCATCGCACAGCACCAGCCCGCTGCCTCCACCCAAATCCAGGGCATCCATGCAACCCATGGTGACCCTTTTGCATGCCGACTCCAGCCCCGCCTTGCCTTCTCCATTGCTGCCCCCCCCCCCACGTCCCCACACACCCAACCCACCGGTCGGCAGCTCCGGCAGCTGCACCGGCAGCAGCACCCTGTCAATGAGGTATGTCGTGCCGCTGCATGCATCAGCCCCGTCAGCAGCCAGCACATTCGCATCTGTAGTGGGTGTTTGCAGCGTCACATTGCCCGGTGCCACGCTCAGGTAGATGGGACCGGCGGCTGCACCCCCCATGCTGGTGTAGAGACGGGAGGCCAGCTGCGTGGGCGGCAGGTTCTGCGGGATGATGTGTGCGAGGACGATGGAGCGCAGGAGGGCACTGCGGGTGCGCATGGAGGGAGCGGGGGGGGGTGAAGCGGGGAATGGGAAAGCCCTGTAGTGATGTACGGTGAGCGTGTTGGTACAGTCCACGCACAGTAAGGAACTACCTTTGGCAGCACTGCAAACGGCACCAATTGCGACGTGACAGAGTTCTCCAGCAACCCAGAAACAACATGCAGCCGACCCATGGGTCTCACGGGCTGGCTTTCAGCAGGTGGTCCGAGGAGGGCACTTTCAGTCGAGCAGCCGCCTCCGGCCAGGCGACATCCACGGGCGCCAGCAGCGTCAGCGGGGCGGATGTGTTGTACAGCAGCCCCTCCAGCTTGGCAGACCGTACGGCACTGCAGCACGACTCGGGAGGGGCGGGCGGGCAAAGGCGTGGTTCTTGTTGCTGGGCTAGCCAGCCTGGCAGCAGATGCAGGAATATACCGGTACAGCATAAGAGACTGAGACGTCAAGGTCTCCGTTGCTGCACAGCCATTACTACTTCCAAGCCGTTAAGAGAGCAAGCGGATGTCGGAGTAGTGTTGCATTGTACCGGTATTGTTGCGTTGCGTACTTGCGCTCCAGAGGGTCTCCTACCTGAGCATGCGGGACAGGGTCGCATTGCCTCGCAATATATCCATCACCGTTCCGTTGGGGTTGCATGCGGTGGCGGCCGGCGGGGCGGTGGCGGCGGCAGCAGCCGGCTTGTACTCCTCAAACAGCGGCAGAGTGTCCAGGGAGGGGCCCGGCAGCAGCACGTAGGAGATGAGGTACATGTACGACCCGCACACTCGGATCTTCTTGGAGATGCGGGCTGTCGTACCGGACTCGCCATTCACGACGTTCTGCACACAAGCACAAGGAGGCGTTACAGAGGTGATGACGGCCCGCCGAGCCGTTCAGAGACAACAACACTGGGTACTTCTGCCGCACATGCTCTGCAGATACCTCCAGAACCACAGCAGACGCTTTTTATGCTGGGTATGTAGGAATGGAGCTGGAATGAACGTGCTTAAAAGGCAGGAACCGGTATCTTACCGCCACTCCCTAGGCCTCACCTGGAAGGGCTGAGGTGCAAATATGGCTGTCCCCTTCCAGTAGGTGTTGAACATGGGTGTGGAGCGCAGGTCGGACGGACCCACGGGTCGCGGCACGATGTGGTAGAGCAGCAGCTGCCGCAGCAGCGGGCCCTGCTGCAGCAGCTGCTCGATGGTAATGTTGGAGTCGGAGGCGAACGCTTCGAAGGCGCTGGGAGACGGAAAGGAAAGGATGGGCAAAGGAACACGAGAGGAAGTGTGTGGTAGCTTACTATGGGAACCACCGCTGATGCTGCATCGCGACGGCGTTAAGATTATAGCATTGCAGGATTTACGGTGGCAAGAGCCCAGTCGTTTCACAAAGCCCCCCACAGCCCTCATCTTCGTCCCAGCTCCATACCAAACCCCTCATTAGCCGCACCCCCTCTCCAGCCAGCTCAAACAACACCATCGCCTCTTTCAGCTGCTCCATGCATCCTCTCCCCCCGCCCTCACCTGTCAGTGGGCGCGAACAGTGTCACGTTGGCCCGGGCGGTGTTGAGCCGCGTCTGCAGCCCCGCGGCCCGCAGCGCCGAGTGCAGCGTGCGCAGCTCCGGCTGCATCTGGATGGCGCTCAGCAGGGTGGTGCCGTCACAGCGGATGTCATCGTCGAAACGGCCATCTGAGGAGGAGCTGCTGCTGCTGCTGCTGCTGCTGCTGCTGGCACTCGTGACCGTTGTGGAATTGGCGGCTGATGGTGGTGAGGTGGCGGGTGCCTTGGTGGTGGCGGCGGCAGCGGAAGATGGACCTGGAAGGGTATGAGGTTGGGAGTACCGGTAGTTGCGAGTGGTCTTTGGGTTGTTGTTCACAATGCGTGCAGCATGATTACGTTTGTGAGGAGCTGTGCGCGGCGCATGGGACCCGCCGGACCCCCGAAAAGTAAAGCTGTCAATGAGGTTCTTCATTCGTGCCAACGCCCTTCCTGATGACCCATGGGTCGACGGATAAAACCGCAGCTCTCTCACATGCTGGCTCAAGAACAGCAGTGCAAGCTCACCCTTGGCAGCATCCTTCGACGCTGGGCTATCCGCAGCAGCATAGCGTCCTGAAGCAAAGGAGGTGCCAGGGGCCCCGTTGGATCATGGATGAATGCTGTCACAACTGCATCTGACACCCTTAGCTTGGTGCACATACAAACCTGTGGTCGCCAGGAGCAGCAATACGCACACCAATAGTGTTGGCCTAAACTGCTTAAGCCGCACCATGGGTTTACTGAAAGGTGTCGTTTCGTGTTGGATGCGTATTGGGTACGAGTCAAATGAGGGTTAGCAGAGGCCAGCTAAGAAGGGCAGAATGATGTCAGAGGCCGTTTAATGACCTGATGGTTACAGCATGAATAAGCTGAAAGCAAGCGGCTGTGGGGCGGGTCCGAAAGGTTCGAAAGGATCCAACGACCTGTCACATTTCAACAGGCCACAGCAGTACAACTACCGCCCCATGTGCTGCATCGAAGCACAATCCTCGGGTCCAGAAATAGCCTTCGCAATTCGTAGGAAGTTTTCTCTCAAGAGCAGCAACCTCTGTTGCTGGTTAGACAACGCGGTTGGTGTCCAAGAGCAGTGCATTCACAGTCTTATCCCGACTTCTTCTTGTCTTTCGTGGCATGACAGCCCTTCCTGTATAATATAAAAGCACGAAGTATCCCGCAACATGATTGAAATCACCATAGCGGCGCACGTCGATTGCGACGCATACCGGCACCCGATAAAACGACATGGCGCCTCGAAAGCAACGGCCGTACGCAACGGCCCGGTAACCAACGCTGCAGTTAGTAAGACGTAGCCAGCAAGCTCGTCTCTCTTCCTTATCCGTAGCCAAACAAATAATTCGTTAGCAAAGCAAGCATCTTCTCCAATTAGCTGCTTCTTGGACGCACGCCGCGGGGCCGATGTAAACCTCCCTCATCTCTGATACCTCGACACCAACATACCACATACCACGTATCTCCAACGCCCCAACACCACCATAACTGGAGGCACGTTTCACCCCACCGCACGTACCCGCATAGCGCACTGGCACTCCCCTTCTTCCCGCAGTAGCTCCCCACCATACCATACTCGCCACGCATCCAACCACCGCACGTGCTACGTATCGTTAACATCGCTCTCACCGTTCGAAAACCACAAACATCCCTCTCTGCTACAGCCTACGACACCTTCATCACCCCAGTCCACCTCATTCCTTCTCATCTTCATCTTATAAAGCAGGTTATCATTGCGAGGGATCCGAGCTCCTGGCTTCCGGCATCTTCGCCTTCTTTGTCTTCTGCACCCACCACCTCTCACCCATCCAGCCGCCCCCCTCACCTCCGCAGCACCACCGCTTGCAGCAGCACCAGCAGCAGCAGCACCGCCACCACCGCCCGCTGCAGCTGCTGGTGCTGACTCAGCACCCAGGCGTATGGCTGCAGGGCGGCGGGCAGCGAGTCGGGCCCGCCTAGGCCCCACACGTAGTAGGCGTAGGTGGCGGTGAGGGCCAGGGCGCCAAAGTCGCGCAGGAGGGCCAGCGGGCCGTCGGAGGGCGGCGGGTGGGCGACGCGGTACTGCGGAGGAGGAGAGGAGGAGGAGGAGGAAAGGGAAGGCGAGATCAGCGATTCAGAAACCAAGACCGAGGGCTTTGCGTGGCAAACACAATAGTAAGGGCGCGAAGAGGAAACTACCGATGTTTGGGCCGGTTGCGACGGAGGCTCCCGGAGCCTGTGTGTGTGTGTGCTCCGCTGCTGGCTGGTTAGACCGCTCACCTGCTGCAGCCCCTTGCTGCACAGCTGGCGGGTGGTGGTGACGATCTGGCGGGTCTCGGGCAGGGTGGGGTCGTCCGCGGCAGCCTGGCTGCACACCTGGAGGGGGCGAGGAGGAGAGGGGAAGATGAGAAGTGGGAGAGGAGAGGACATGTGGCATGCAGGGGCGTCAGCAGATTGAGGGCAGAGACAGGGTTGAACAAGGTAAGCGGCCTGCAACCCCCACCCCCCTCACCTTCTCCTCCAGGATCTCCAGGAAGCGCAGGAACCAGCCGTACACGTCCCCCAGGTTGCTGCACGTCTCGAACACGGTGGCCGTCTCGCCGCGCCGCATCTTCACAACACCTGTATGGCATCGGGGAAAGCGGCCCCGTTGTAACCCCCGAGCGTACCAACCATGTATGTATCCATGTGTAAGGCTGTAAGCGGTGTGAACAGACTAAAGCCCTAAAAGCCGACAAGGCGACATACAACACTAAGAGCTCCGCCCCCTAAAGAAACAACAGATGAGCTTAATGCCGTGGGCCCCTGTCCCTCCGCCCACCCCACCCTCCCACCCTCCCGCGCCCCCACCCTCGAACACGCCTCCGTTGTTGTAGCACAGCGCCAGGGTGCCTGCCGCCATGATTTGCGGGATGGCGCAGAAGCGGAACACCATGACGTGCTGCAGCTGCTCCAGGTAGCGCATGCAGTGCGGCACGTGGCGCAGCGCGTCCGTCACCTGAGGGGCGGGGGGGGGGAGTGGGGGGAGATAAAACGGGGGGGTCAAGGTTACCGTAGCAAACCATGGGAAACCACAGGTTAGGGTCGTGGGCTGTCACGTCGTCGCACCCCCATTCCAGCCTTCACCAACGCACGAACGCCCTCTCCATGCACCTCCATTCCCTTTGTCTGTCCCTAATAACTTCCCCGCACTCCCACCGCCCCTCTCCACCCACCAATTACGTATCCCTATTTACCGCCCCACCACCACCTCCCCCCCCTCCACCGCCCCCACCATGTGGTTGAGGCACTGCACCGCCTGCTTGCGGTTGGCCGGCTGCTGGAAGTCCTCCAGGCTGGAGCCGTAGCGGCCCCAGATCTCACGCGGCCAGAACATGCGGGGCGCAGGCTCCTCCAGGATGTCCTCCTGGCAGGGGGAGGGGCAGAGGGGACAAGGGTGGTGGTGAGGGAGGGAGGGGATGCGATGATTGGGGAGGGGGGAGTGGGAGCAGAGCGTGGCGTGCATGCGGCACAAGAGACGCGGTGATGGGGCCCAAGGATGAGGGGGACATGCATCTGCCGTGAAGTGCCGGGTGCCCTGCAATGCTTCATGCGTTACGGCTCAGTCGGGAGATGCCGCCGGCGCTGTGGCGGTTTCGGCATGCTGGCGGGACCTGCCGCCCCACCGAAGCAGCTCGGGGGGCGGGGCGCCGTCGTACCGCTCATAGCTTGGGGTCCTGACTCATCATCGCCGCGGCATGCATGGGAGCTCTTGTTCGAGTCCTTTGCTAGTGCAGAACGCGCCTGGACTAGCCCAAGCCCCCCTTCATTCCCAAGCAAGCATCCCTGCCCCTCTAACCCTAAGCCATTCCTCCCACCGTCCGCCCCCGCTTGCTCCTTTCCCTCCCTCGCTTTCCCTCGCCTCCCCCTCCCGCCCCTAGCCCCCCCCCACCAGGTAGTCCCTGATGATGTTGGTCTTCTGCAGGAACAGCCCCATGTGGTTGGCCAGCTCCTCCTGGGCCGCCACGGAGGGGGCCTCCAGACCGCTGGCGGCTGAAGGAGGGGGCAGGGAGGAGGAGGAGGAGGGCAGGCGGAGGGGGCAAGGGAGGGAGAGGGGTTGGGTAACAGGAGGTAGGCGGCTGAACCGGAAAGCGGAAGGAAACACCAGCATCCCTGGTGCTAGGTAGATGCCCAAACCTCGAGAGCGTCAGCACCCTCCTAGTGCTAAATAGCTGAGTGTCTCCTGCCCCCTCTTCCCCCCCCACACACTCACCAAACAGCTGCGACAGGCCTATCCCCACCAGCCCCGCCACGTAGTGGCAGTACAGGTCGTAGTCGGCTACCGTCTTGACCTGCGGGTGGGGGTGGGTGGGGGGTTGGGGAAGAGCGGGGGAGCCGGTAGGGGGTGGACATGAGGGCAAGGGACGCCGGGGGCGTGCTAGGCATGAAGCAACCAGCCGCCTTTTGAAGCGCCATCCCTTCCCTCCGGCGGCTAGCTCGCGTGCTCGCCTCTTCCACCTCGTCAGCGCCTACCCCTCCGGCACCCTCCCGCCCTCCCCACTCCTCCTCAACCGCCCAACCCCTCAACCCTACGCATCCCATCCCCACCTCCACCCCAATCCCCCTCCCACCCCCACTCACCTCCTTCTCAATGAACTCCGCCATGCCGTACCCCATGCGCCGCGTGATGTCTGCAATGACCTGCTGGTGCCGCTCCTCCAGCCCCAGGAACACATTCACCACCGTGCCGAACTGCGCCATCAGCCGCTGGTAGTGGTTGTAGCCGCAAGCCATGGTGAAGCCCCTGGGAGCGGAACACATACGGGGGTTGTAGGTTGTAAGGCCACAGGTGGTGAATTGGGACATTGGACCAAAGTTGGTTACGCTACTCTAGTGAAGGGCATGGTGGCGCTGCTTCGGAGCAGTTAGCCACGGGGAGATGCCCACCTCTCGTAGATACGCTCGTGGAAGCGTTTGAGCTCTGGCACCTTGAAGCCAACGTCCAGCGCCATGTCATCCTCCACCGTGTCGAGTCCACGCAGGACGAGGTAGAAGATGCAGATGGCGTCACGCAACGGGTTTGGTAGCTGTTGGATGACGATGGCAAAGCTGTGGGAGAGCAGGCAGATACCACAGCGTTAGGTCAAACCCTGCGCCCCGTGGATTCGCGCCCATTCGGCATCAACCTCACCTTCGCGACACATCGTTCAGCATGCCATAGCAGAAAGCTAGGTCTGGGTCCTTCGGTAGCTTTGCTGCCCTTTTTGCAGCGCGATACATGCGCGCCTACACGCGGGCGCGGGAAACAATGGAAGGCAAGTCCTTTCATCCGGTGCTTGCAGCTGTCGATTTTCACAGAGTACTTACCAGAGGCAGAATCTCCCCTGGGTGCGATAATATCTCGCCTAGCTTTCCCATTGTGCAAGTGTAAGCGTTTCTTACGAGACAAGGTGCCCGGACCAAGCGCGAGCTGCACCTATAAATATGGTTAAAGCCTGCTGTTAACCTAACAGTACTAATGTGAGCAAAGGTAAAGCTTAACAACGAGCACCCGGATGTACGGCAAACGCTCGACCTTTACCGAGACCGCCTTTGGTTCGGATCGACTGTGCTTCGGGGCGGAATTTGTTGTATAGGTTGGTATAGTTCTTCCGGAGTAATTGCAGCGCTCTAGGCCCCAAAGGGGCGGCGGCTGACCACCCCAAGGTGGTTCAATAGAAGAACTCGCCAAACTAATGCAGCAACATTGAATTTTGTGCAAGGATTAGGGGATCTCAGTTTAGGATGCTCGGGAGGACGGCGACGGGCCCTGGCCGGCTGGCTGCGCGGCCGACACCGCGCGTCGCCGCTCGTCCGTTGTGCGTCCGCGCCCAAGCGAGTTCTTCGGGAAATTCTCATGGCGAACAGGAATGCTCTTGCAGCGGAAGCAGCAACGTCGCCGGTGTTAGCCAGCCTGTTACAAACGATAGCCTCAAAGTAGTCGGAACCTCTTCAGCGCTTACAGCCTTCACGCTTGTGCCTAGCTTCGGTGGATTTGGCAATGGAGGCAATCGGGGCGGTGGCGGTGGTGGAGGAGGAGGAGGAGGCGGTGGCAATGGACAGGGGCCAGATAGCGGATGGGCGCTACCGCTTTTCGAGCTTGCGAAGGCCGATGAGGAGAAGCCCGAAGAATCCAATAAGCGCGACTGGAAGAACCTAATTACAGACACCGAGGAGTTGGAACAGAAGCCCGGAGAGCGCTCCGGGACGAACCGTTGCGTTGAGATTGTCATCGAGGGGTGGCCCAATGTCTCAAGCCTTCCCACCGAGGTGAGGATTGCTTCCACCCCTTGGCCCTCGTCACACCTTCTAGCCACACATGGCATAGCAGGCTGCCGCAATTTGCGGGCGAATCTGATTCCCTGCTTTCCCAGGTGCATAGCAAATCCCCACGCCCGCCCCCGGCTTCTCCTCCATCTTTCTGCGGCATCTCTCGATCACCCGCGTTATCCCGCGTATGGATGCACCTGAACCATCATCGGTCGGTTGCTGTGTGTACGGCATGCTGCGCAGTCCCTGACCCACCACCTCCCCTTTGCCCGCCCCACCCTCCCCCCCCCGCCACTCCCCCCCCCGCAGGCCGAGCTCAAGGAGATGCTGACGGTGCAGGAGGGGCACATCTTCGAGAAGCAGGACCTGCTGGATGACCGCCGCAAGCTGGAGACGTGAGACATGGGGGGTTAGGGGAGGGAGAAGGGAGGAGGGAAGGGAGGGAGGAGGGGGACGGTAGGGGTATGGTGGTAACGACAGGTGAAGGGGGGCACAAGCTGGGGAGGTCAGCCCTGGGAGTCGAGGCTGGTAGAGCCTCTCATTGGGCACAGAAAAGGGAGGGTACAAGGTAATAGGAGGACTAACAAGGCTGGAACGGTTTGCTTGGGGAGGAGTGGGGCCCTGGGAGGGAGGCTGACAACGGGATGGGTTGACCAGGGGACCAGAGGGCTGGGTGGTAGGGCCCCGCGTGTGGGCGGCATGGGGCCAGCGCTGAGGCGACCCCCAGGGGCAAAGCGGCACCCAGGCGCCACCTGGAGGCGGGGCGTAGTACCGTAGCAGTGCCCGGTGGTGTACTGCTCCGGATGCATCCCGGGGGGGCCGCTAGCTGCCCCAACCGGACGTTTGACCTGCGGGGATGGCGGGATGCGTCGACGGGTCTGCCGTGCATGCATGGTTGCGTGTGCCGAGGTGGCGGCTTCATGGGGGCGAATGGACGGCTGCGCGGGCCTGCTCGTGCTGGGGGGCCGCCGCCCCCAAGAGCTGTTGCTTATGACACGTGCCACCCGCGCATGAGCATGTCTCATGGCAGGTCGTGTGTGGGCATGCAGCGTGGGGAAGGGCTGCTGCATGGCGTAGGTGCGGGCACGTGGCGGTGTGCCGACCTGGGTAGCAGCAGGCAGGCCCATACCCGGTGAAGTGGCGGTGGCGGCTGGCTGGGGCCGTAGCGCATAAGGAAGTCCTATGTAGTCCTGTGTAGGGGCTCGGTTGCCGCGTTCCGGGTGGCAAAGAGGCCGCGTAGCGTGGTGGGATTGCGGCACGGGACCCCAAAGGAAGGAGACCGCGAACCGCAGAGGATGGAAGACCTGCGGACCCATACAATAAAAAGTATAAGAGAAGGCGTGCGGTGCTCCCGGCGCATTTGGGCGGGGAGTTTCAGTCCACCCCTCATCCGCGCATGCCGGCAGGGGAGGGGTGCGCCATGACCGCCGCTGTGTGGATGTCGAAGAGGGGGCCAGCGTGTGGCTACGGCTCCCTCCCGCACCGCCTGCACCCCTCACCCTCACCCCACATCCCTTTCCTTACCCCTCTTGCCCCCTTGTCATACAGCTCGTCAGTTGCTTCGTCAGTGTCTCATTATATATTTTTTACCCTCTCCCCCCCCAGCCAATACGAGGACTACATCGCTGAGGTGGAGGTGCGCACCGAGTACGTGGACGCCTCCTCCGCGCACCAGCGGGTGGTGTACCGCTTCACGCCGCACCAGTTCCGAGGCATCAACGCGGTGGACATCAAGGGCGCCAGCCTGATGCCGGCGGAGGAGGTGGAGCGCATCTGCGCGGAGTGCATGCCGCCCGCACCCTACATGGTGGATGTGGCGGTGATGGACAAGGTTCGAGGGCAGATCGAGCAGTGGTGAGGAGGGGAGGGAGGGGAGGCGACGAGTAACTGAAGTCGGTTCACCTAATTATATACAGTCCCCGCCATTCAACGCACGGCGGATCGCCTTCTAGAGATGCCTCACTCGTTGCTTTCCACCTTCCCTCCTCCTCACCACCTCACCCACTTAAAACCATTCCCTCCATAGGTACCAGAACCGCGGCCTCCCCTTCTGCTACGTGGGCTTCTTCGACGGCATGGAGGACGGCGTGCTGCGTGCCAACGTGACTGAGGCCAAGGTGGACGGCGTGGCGGTGCGCTTCGTGCGGCCCAAGCTGACGGGCGACTCGGACCTGGAGTACAGTGTGTACGACGAGGGCAAGGTGGTGAAGGCGGAGAAGGTCATTGAGGCGTCGGGGTTCAAGGTGCGGGTTGGGGTGGGGTGGGGTGGGGAAGGTAGTGGGGTGTGAGGACGCTGGTGCGATGCGATGCTATGTGTCCGATTGTGTTGGCCTAGCGCATGGCCTAGCCTAGCCTAGCCTAGGACTTTGGCTCCTTCCAAATTGCCAAGCGAACTCCGCGCCTTCCTCTCCTCCTCCTTCCCTCCTCAACCCCTCCCCTCCCCTCTTCTCCCCTCCCCTCTCCATGCGCCCCGCAGAAGGGCCAGCACTACCACGTGGAGGACGGCTACGACGCCATCAACAACATCTTTGCGTGCGGGCTGCTGGAGGACATCAACATCGAGCCGGAGCAGGACCCGGGCGACGTGAACAAGATCAATGTCAAGATCCGCTGCGAGGAGGTGCAGCCTAGGAGCATGGAGGTGCGGGGGACGGAGGGGGGCGGGGGTCCGGGCTGCGAGAGGGAATGATTCTTAGAGGGTGTATAACATGTGCAAGAAGGGTATAGTTGAAGCCGCGGGGCGGCACTGGCCATGAGCCTCATGCGTCGACCCCTCCCTTACCCTTACCCAACTTCCCTCACCTTCCCTCCCTCTCCTTCCCTCCCTCCCACCTCCCTCCCGCAGCTGGACCTGGACTGGTCCTTCCAGCTGAAGAACGGCGTGCCCTCCCTCTCCCGCCAGTCCCTCATCCCGGGTGGCTCGGTGGAGATCGGGCACGAGAACCTGTTTGGCAACTCCGAGTCCGCCAGCCTCTCGCTGTCCGCCTCCGACTGGCGCAACCCCTCCGCCGACCTGGGCTTCAGCTTCAGCTACAGCGAGCCCTTCTTCAAGCCGCACACCACACGCAACCTGCAGGTGCGTGGGTTGCCGTACAAGACCGCCGCTGCTGTTGCAATTTGCCGTACAAGATTGTCGTGTAGCCGTACAAGGCTGCTGTTGCCAAGAGCGGTTGGCACTGGAGCGTGTCTCGGCCCTAAGACAGCCGTGTCTGCCTTGCCTGCCTCACTCCCATCCACACCCACGCACCCACCTCCCTCCCGCCACCCCTTCCGCCACCCCTTCTCCGCCCCTCCCCGCCCCCGCAGCTGTTCAACACGCGCAAGACCTCCACCATCTTCACCCCGGGTGGCGAGGCGGAGGTGCCGCCCGTGTTCGTGGACCGCTTCGGCGTGAAGGGCTGGACCAGCGAGATCACCGGGCAGGACAACAAGGTGGGGCGGCAGGGGAGGGAAGGGGGAGGGGAGGGGAGGTCAGGGGCGCTGACGGGCTGCTTTGCTGCTTCTAACCATCCTCCACAACCGTGCCTTCACTCCTTCCCTCCTCACACCCGCCTCCCTCAACCTCCCTCACCTCCCCCCCCAGGTTGAGCACGCGCTGATGCTGCAGCTGGTGAGCACGCTGGACGAGAACGGCCAGGTGGTGGCCAAGGGCACCAAGGTGCAGCGCGGATACTATGCGGACAACGGCCCGCCCACCACGGTGTCGGGGAACGGCCGCGACCTGAGCCTGTCGTACCAGGGCTTCTGTGTGCTGGACAACGTGCGGTTCATTAACGGCAACCAGCTGGGCACGCGCATGATGTTCCAGGTGAGGAGGGGGGAGGGGGGAAACGGACGAGCTTTAAGGGGGGTTGAAGTAAGGAAACTGGCGGGGCAAGCTGTAAGGTGGGGGGGGGAGGGGTACAGGGCATGTGCCATGTTGGGGTCGGGAAGGGGAAAGGGGGAGCGTGGAGAGGCGGGGGGAAGGAGCAGGAATGCTTGGAGCAAGGAGGGGAAGGGCAGGCGCATGTGGGGATTGTCGTGGGGAAGCATACATGCAAGGGCTGCTGACGGCGGTGATGTTGTATTCAACATCGTACTGAAAATCTGAGGCCCCCGTTATCCGGGGAGTCATGCGGTTTCCTTTTATTCTACCTGAGCCGTCATGCACGCCGAGGAATTGCAAGGCATGGCGTGAGGGCGGCGTGGATAGCATTAGCGGCGGTGATTCCTTTTATATCGTACTGAAAATTCCGAAAGCCCCTCGGGGCATTTTGCGGACAATCTAACACACCTCTGAGCCGCCAAACACACACCGCGCATATACTTTATGGATATATAAAACAGGAAGAGCAGCTGGGAAGACCTTGTCACGAGGGGGTTGTGCCCATACCGGCATACAACGGCTGCTGACGGCGGTGAGGTCATGCTTCGTATCGTACTGAAAATCTGAGGCCTCCGTTACTCGGGGAGTCATGCAGTCGTCTTTATTTTCTACCTGAGCCGTCGTAAACGCCGAGGACTAGCACTCCCTGTGCATCGCAAGGCATGGCATGAAAGCGGCATGAGTCACATGAGATCGGCGGTGATACCTTATCGTACTGAAAATTCCGAAGGCCCCTCGGGGCGTTTTGCGGACAACCTAACACACCTCTGAGCCACCAAACACACGCCGCGCAGAAGCACCCATGCATGGCACGGATTATGAATTAGTATTTTCGTGAACGGGTCGAGCGGTGGTAATTCAACAATTCATTATCCTCCTGGATATCTGAAACACCCCTTTGCGAGGGAGGAGGCGGGGGAGCAAGGGCTTGGAGCAGGGAGGGGGAAGGATAGGCGCATGTGGGAATCGTCACGAGGGGGTTGTGCCCATACCGGCATACAACGGCTGCTGACGGCTGTGAGGTCATGCTTCTTATCGTACTGAAAATCTGAGGCCCCCGTTACTCGGGGAGTCATGCAGTCGTCTCTAAACTCTACCTGAGCCGCCGTACGCACCTCCGACTTGCACTCCCTGTGCATGGCAAGACATGGCATGGCATGAAAGCGACATGAGTGCGGCGGTGATACCTTATCGTACTGAAAATTCCGAAGGCCCCTCGGGGCGTTTTGCGGACAACCTAACACACCTCTGAGCCGTCTTTCACACACTCACACGCCGCGCAGTAGCACCACCATGCATGTCATGAACGGGAGCAGCGGCGGTGATTCTTTCGTACTGAAAATCTGAAGCACCCCCTTGGGGTCGCCTTTGCTGTCACCTTTCTCTACTGCTGAGCCGTACTGCCCCCGCGAGCTGCTTGCCTGCACGCACACGAACACGCGATACACGGAACACTATCCCTAGCGGCATTGCAACCCCCACAACACTTGGCACTGCCGCGGCCTGTGCGGATTTCCACTGGAGTAGGACGCCAGGAGTATGCTGTACTTACCTCACCGAGGAGCGTGCTGGGTAACGGCCGGGATGATCTCAACTTCTCATATTCGTACTGAAAATCTGAGCAGCGCTGCCTCTTCACAGGAGGAGGAGCGCCCTGCTGTCATCACTTACAGATCTGAGCCGACCCACCTCACAGCACCCACACACCATCGCATCCCCTTGCACCTCCTCCTAACCCAGCAAGCCAAACACTCCTCCATCTCTCCTTCCCCTCCTCTCCCCCCTCAGGTGGATCAGGGCCTAAACCCCTCCGTCCGCCTGCCCGGTGGCCGCACCCTGGGCCTCTCCGGCGGCCTCTACAACCGCGCCACCGCCGCCTTCACCAAGTTCCTAGAGGCGCCCTTCCTGCCCAAGCTCTCCGCCGAGCAGCTCTGGAAGGAGCGCAAGGCGCCCAACACGCTGGTGCTGCACGCCAAGGCGGGTAACGCGCTGGGAGACCTGCCGGCGTACGACTACTTCTCGCTGGGTGGGCCGTACAGTGTGCGTGGGTACAACCATGGCGAGATTGGCGCGGCGAGGAGGTTCCTGGAGCTGGCGACGGAGGTGAGGGCGGGGAGAGGGGGGCTGTAGGAAGTGCCTGGGGCGGTAGAAGCGCACCCGTACATGTTCGTTCGCCCCAAAGCTGTTGGCGCCACACACCCAAAGCACCACGAGCCCCCCCAACCCCTTGCTTCCGTACCCGCTCACCTACCTCCACCCCTTCCAAAGGTGCGCCTGCCGCTCAAGAACTACGGCCTGCCGGGTACCGCGTACGGCTTCGTAGAGTACGCCACCGACCTGGGCAGCGGCCGCGAGCTGCCCGGCAACCCCACCGAGTACTACCGCAAGCCGGGGCGGGGCATGTCGTACGGGGTGGGGCTGCGGGCGCTGGGGGCGTGCCGCTTCGAGTATGCGCGCGACTGCAACGCGGGTAGCGGCACCTTCCTGGTGAACTTTGGGGAGCGGTTTTAAGAGGGGTAGGAGGAAGGGGAGGGAAGGAGGGGGAGGCGCAGGAGGAGGGAAGGAGGTGACAGGGGAGGTTGCGGAGGTTGCATGAGGGCGGGGGCGTTTATTAGTAGGGCGCCGTCCTGTGGTTGGGAGTTGGTGGTGTTGGGAGGGGCTTGGAAGGCTTGGGGTTGGGAGGTAGTATTGCGGAGAAGAAGAAGACGATTGAGTTCAGCCATGTGTGCTGTGTTAGGTGCGGTAGGGGGCTGCTGGGCCTGACTGGGGGCGGAGGCAAGCAGCGGCAGAAGGGGCGCTGCCAATGCATTGGAGCAGTTAAGAGGCTTGGCAGCAGGCACGTTAGTCGGCGGCAGTTGGAGGGTGCGATACCGGTATGCTGTACCACAGACTGGGGGATCTAACGTTGTGGGGTGGAGGTTGGGGATTGGTGGGGCACGTGCAGGGGGCCGTGTAAGCGGGTTTTGAGTGTTGGTTACTCCTGCGGGTTTGAGGCCGGGTGGGGGCTCCTGCTTACCTGTGAGCGGATGTTGTACTGCACGCTGCACACCTTTGCAAGCCTTATGGCATGATACGTACCATGCAGGGTTTCCTTGACTTCCCGGCCTTGCTTCCCAGCAAGTCTTGGCGGAAGTACTGTCTCGGACGTGAATGACTTCTGTGCCCTGTATCGGGCGGTTGGCGGTGGCGGACTGACGCAACCGCTGTCTTTACCGTACATTCCCACTGACAACCCGTCAACGCTGGTGTTGCAACCCGTTGTAAGGGCGGGTCTAAGGGCGGTCTGGATGTGCACTGGCGGCGGGCAGGCGGCGGCTTGGGTAACACGATACTGGCAAGATGTATCGCGGCAGTGTGCATGTTACTTGCATGGTATCGGGCAACCAATATGCTGGCGGCGTGGTAGGGTGATACTTGTGGGGCGGTGAGGGGGTGCTGGCAGCAGGAGTTTTCCACAGTCGCCGGCTGGCGTTGCTTTGGTTCTAGCCAAAGGAAACACCGCGACGTTTTTCCTTCTGTGCCAATGGCCCTGTCGTCAACACGATTGGCCAAGTCTGTAGCTTTGTTTCCATGCATACCCCTGCGTATCCTTTTCCGAGCACCCGACGTCGGCCCTTCCACTGAAGCCAGGCGGCTGAGATCAGACACACGGGCTGGCTTTAGGGCACGACTGGAAGTAAGGCGTATCGAAGCTGTTGTTGAGTACTTCCGATGCTAGTTCAGCGGATGCAGCGGAAGTGCCAGGGTTTGGTCCTTTGGCGGAGCAAGGCAATCAGGCGACCGGGCCTTACACTGGTGCAGGACGGCAAGCGATGCACACACCCCGCGACCGAGCGCGACCACACGCACAACCAGCTAGGCGTGCAACCAAGACTCACAAAGGCCAACAGCAACCAAGAACAGCCGTCCAACAGTTCAATGCAGACAAACACACTCAGCCCTAGGGCCGCCTGCCAGCCCCTGCCTTCCCGAAACAAAGCCAGGCACGGAGCGAATGCAGCGAGGGAAAACGGGAACAGGGGCGCACAAGGGCAAAAACCCTCGCTGACTCCGGCCAGCAGCAACCTAAACTGGGCAGGCGACCCAAAGCAACCTGGACTATGCGGGCCACCCAACCAAACAACTCCGTCGTCAAACCCCGCCGACTAGCCTCATGAGACCCAGCTAGCAAACAACCAGCCAAGTAGTAGGCCATGCAAACTGAGAACTAAGCAGCAACACGGTCTGGGTCGTCTGTGTCCCCAACAATCACCGTACCCCCCTGGCTTCATCCTTGCACTCGCCATCCTGTCTGGGGCCCTGTTCTTAGGCCTCGTCTGTACCCCCTACCCCACCCCTTTCTTTTCCATGCTACCTTGCTTTTGCACACAACCTCCAGGTTCTGGGCTGAACGGGCAACACCATTCCTCCGCAGCGCCCAAACCCCCAAACCACATGTACGGATGCACCGGTAATAGTGGTGAGCATGTACGGACGGCTCGTTGGAACCCGCCCCAGCCTTCGTACCTATTCACCTATCCATAACCTATCCACCCAGGTGATGCCCCGTCCTCATGCAGCGCTATGTGATTCCCGTCATCAGGTGCAGTGCCCTACAAGGTACGACTGCCCAATACTGCACATTGCGAGCTGAAGACCTTCAACGCCTGCAGTCCACACCACCTTGCTTGCTACCCACTCCCGCTACCCACGCCTCGACACCCCAAGCAACCCACTGCAGTAACCCGTTAGCGGTAGTCCTGAAACCCAGTCCATAACCAGCTAGCGCGGCTTGTAACTACAGCCGCACTTCCTTCTGGAATTCCAGCTGGTCCCGCAGCGCCAGCAGCCACTCCAGCCGCCTCAGCCCGATGCCGCCTGCACTCGGCTCCCAGGCGTTGTCCCACACCTGCTCGACGGCCTGCGTGGGGCGGGGTGCAAGTGGTGTGCAGCACGCGCCTGGGGAAAGGGAGACGGGGCCCCTTGGAGACCACAGAAGGCACAGGTCAAGTCCAGAACTGGAGGCTGGTGAAGGTGCTTTGCCGGTATCCTAATGTGCTTTCCTGACAGCATGGTGGGAAGTTAGCGGGCTCTAGTATCCAGCTATCCACCCACCGGCAGGTCCCTAGTTCAAATAGTGAATTGCCTCAATCTGCATCCTCACCGCACGAAAGCGCGCAAAAACGTAGGGCATGCACTCACCAATTCCAGTGCATTGCACACGCCGTACAAGCTAAAGACGCCTACCCCTCCCATTCCATGTTGAGACTTGAGCCGCAGCACCAGCAGTGGCGCCGCAGCCGCCTCCACCCCCTCCGCTCCACCCCCCGCCTCCACCCCCAGCACCCGCACGGCCGCCTCCACTGCATCCGCTGCCGCCTCATCCTCGCACTGCATCACCACTGCCTCTACAGCCGGCAGCGGCTGGTAGCGCACTATGCAGCACCCGTCGCCTCCACCCTGCACCGCCTGCTCCTCCAGCTTGCAAACCCACTGCTTGAGTGCCCCTGCTTGTTCCGTGCCCCACTGCTGCTGCCCCTCCTGCTGCTGCCCCTGCTGCGGCTGCTGGCGTAGCAGCGGAGCCAGCAGCGGACCGCTCACCCACACCACATGTGCTCCTGAGCCACTGCCAGAACTGCAGACCTCCCCAACCGCTGCCGCCCCTGTCGCCACACTCCTCATCACACCCAGCAGCAGCTCTCCCGCAGACGGCAGCGGGGGATAGTCACTTGCCGCCTCAACTTCCGGCTGCGTGTTGCCAGCCGGTTCATAGCTGGAAGGTGCCACAGCGGCTGGCCTTAGTGTAAAGCTTCCGTTACCAGTAGAGACCTCCAACTGCTGCGGCATGCCCAGCACCTCAACCGCCTGGAGCACTTCAGCTACGGAAGTCCAACAGTTTAAGGCCAGGCTCTGCACCTCGACCGCTGAGAACTTCTCCCTCAGTAGCGCGCCCGAAAGGGTCAGCTCCTCTCCGAGCAGCCTCGCGTCAATGAAAACATGTTGGATGCGGAGACGTGGCCGCTGCTGGCCGGGGATGCTGGGCATGCTGCGGAGGGGTCCGTGATCCACCAGGTCGCTAGTATGTAGCTTTTTAAGCTGCACGAGCTGCATGCGTCCCGCGTCCAGGTACACGTCCGCTGTATCCTCTCCCATGTAGCAGCCAAAGGGATACACGCATTCCTCCAGCCGGAGGTGTCGCAGGGAGGTCGACAAGATGCTGAGCAGCAGGCGCAGTTTATCAAAGGTCGGCCTCCTCTCCCCCCACTGCTCCTCATTGCATTCCTTCAGGTGCAGCACCTGCAAATGCTGCAGGCTGGCCAGTTCGGCAACAGCGTTAGCTGGAAACCTTCTCTTCTCAACCCCTCCATCCACCACCAAGCTCGTTAGGCTGCTGCTTCCCGCCAGGGCTCCAACGCCCTCCAGTGACGCACCTCCGGACAGCACTAGCCGCTCCAGGTGCGGCAGGGTAGACAGAGCGCTGAACATGTACTTCTGCTTCAGCCGTGGGGGACCACACTGCCATACACCGCCGGAGAGGTCCAGCTGCTCCAGAGCGGGCAGCCACAGCGGCAGCTGTGCCACAGCCGACTGGAGGTCCATGCGGTCCCAATCCCGCCAGACCATCTCCACACGCTTGATGCGCTGCCGGACTTCCAGCGGCGACCCCGCAAACTGCAGCGCTACCAGGGCTGCGGTTTTCTCAACATGGTTGGCACGGCCCCAACTAAGTGCGGTGAGGTCCAGCCGAATAGTATCGCAACGGGGCCAGCGCGCTAGTGAAGGCACCCTGTCGTCCTCCCATATCTGCCGGTCTTCGGGTAGGACATGCAGCGAGGCTTCCCGCACGCCGACGTCGATTGCTTGGTGCAGCGCGCGAAACGCCCGGCGTGCATTACCCAGGCTCCTATCGCGTCCCAGAAAGCTAGAGAGGGTTTCCAGCGCTGGCACACAGAGCTCCTGAAGGACATCTGCGAGACTCAACTCCCTGCCGTTGTTATCGAGCGCCAGGTTCTCCATCCCGTCGCCTCGCCTCTACAGCCTATTCACTAGCGCGACTGCGTTATTGCTGTGAAGGGGTTGCACCGCGTACGTATGCGCCTGCCGGCAAGCGTGGACAAGGTCCCAACCGCAGGGTCCTACCGGCGGGCTGCGTTTGGTGTGCAGAGCTTGCAGCAGCTAGCTCCTCATCTTGTCGAGTAGCACTACTTGTAGTAAAGCAGTCCGGAAGGCTATGCACACTGCAGTCTACTGCTTCCGATATCTATAATCTGGGCGTTCTCACCGGTCCAACGTGGGTGGCAATCACGGGTTTACGACAGCTAGCGGTATGGCCAGCGTCTTCCAGGCCTTTTCGTGTAAAGGAAAGGATGACCAACCCTCTTATGTTTGTGCTGGTTTAATATCTATCCGGTAGCGCAAACGCACGTAACGATTTGCTGG